TATGAGATTTGACGTTGCAAATTTAAAAAAATTGCGGTAAATATTGATTTTTTTACAAAATGGAATTTTTCCCGCCCTTTTTACATAAAACAGCTGTCATCTGTCAAAAAATTTCTGGAAAATTTTTTTGGAAATGTGCGCGATTGTTCGTCAAGATTTGACAGGCGCGACGATTCTTTCGCGGATAAACAATTTATACATGCGATTATGTGTCTCATCCTTGCGGAGAGTAATGCATTATTTTCTTGCGCGATATACATTCTACCTATTCTTTATCGTCGGCAAGCATTTCGTGCAGCGGAAGATATTACGTTTGCACTATGCGAAGCTCGCACGATGCATCGTGTGAAGCAACGCGATTATTGTACTGACAGATATATAATAAACAGACTCGAGATATACCTACATAAAGACGTATGGCTTTTACAACTTTATCGCATAACATCAGAATTATACATCTTACAATTCCAATAAATTGAAATGAAATTGAGATAAAATCTGACAGATGCTAAAACATACACGGAGAGAATTTTCTCTTAGAATTTACTGAAAATCATGATAATTGGAAGAATTAAGAATTTTATAAGAGTTTCACTGATTAATATTTGCCACAATAAAAAAATTAATATGTACATAGTCAAATTAATCGAACATATTTTATATCTTATTGTAGTAGATATTAATAATTTTTGTAAATATTAATCAGAGAAACTCTTATAAAATGTTTTTCCAATACCACATTGTCTCACGATTATCATGATTTTCAAGGTAAATTTTAAGAGAAAATTCTGTGTATCAATAAATCAAAAGAAAAATTAACTAAAATAATAAATCAAAAAGACTGATATATAAACTCAGATATGAAAAGGTCTAGTGAAAACCAGATATTAATAGGTATTAATAGGTGCGACAAAATTATTTTCAACTTCTTCCATACTTATTTTGCATAATAATCAAAATATGAAAATAAGTATAGAATATAAATATTAAAAATAATTTTATTGTGCACTTAATATGTGCTTAGCTCTACCCCTTTTCATACTTGAAGATAAAATGATCATTTAGCTCGCAATAATATATTGTCTTTGATTCGGTATTCGCAAAGCCGACTTTCCAATCAGTGTTAGACTAATTCTATTTCATACAATCGTAGACATCATTATCGCAAAAGGTATAAAGGAAATTATGCGAATCGGATAATGGCGGGGTCCGCATTCTCCTCGAAGCCGGAGTTTCTTCCGCCCCGGGACGATTACTTCCGCGAGAAGTTAATCCCGTTCGCGTTCGCGCGATTCGTCAACGATCAGCGAGGCAAACAAAGCGACGCAAGTGAATCGGATAAATGGGACGTGTTTCTTGATACGTATATGTATTGCTTATATCCCAAAGCTCCGAGACGAATGTGTTCGAAACAAATCTGTACCGTACACTCGTAAAAAGTCTACGTACGCTTTTAACGCGTACACGCTTTTACGGGTATATATAAGCGCGGCGATATAGTGATTTAGAGCGTGCGAATTTTTATTCGATCGGAAAGGCTCAGAAGTTTATAGCGTCCCGCTGTAGTTTATAGCGATCCACGCGTTTTAAGCGAAGCGAAGCGAGAATAATACGCGAATCGCGCGTGCAGTTACGCGAGAATGCGGTTGCGATCATCCCCGAGAGAGAGAGAGAGATTTATCAGGGTATAGAATAGGCGGCTGAAAAGTTTCTTCTCAATGGACACGATTGAAAATCGCTTCGCGAAGAGTGTCTTTGCACGTCTCATGCGTGGCTCGATCAATTATTATCCCTTCGATCTATCCTCACGTCGCTCACGAACGCACGGAGGTGAATCTACTTAATCATCCTTAAAGGGAACGAGGTTGAGAGATCCTTGAGCGAGGATAGGATTTCTCTATCTAGATCGTCGACGTGTAAACAGCTCGAAGTGGAACGCCTTTCGAATCGATCACGGGACGAATCTCATTTTTTCCCTCTATACAGAAGACTATTACAGATCACGGGATCCTCGTAAGCTGTGTCTGGACTTTCCAACAACGAAATAAATATACGATAAATGATTATTTATGAGTTGAAGTTAATTTTAGTGACGTTAATTTTTTTATGACTCTCTCTCTTGATATTGGGGAGAGAGAATTGGGCGAATAATATTTCATCCGATCATCAAGTATACTTGGATAATAATAAGGATCTGAAGGCAGGCAGTTGTTATTATATCGTCGTTATTGATTTTTCCATTTCAGCCAATTATTATTATTTTTTCTTTCCCGGGATTTCGTTATCAAGTTTTGTCGTACGCAACGAGCGCAACATGCTCGCAAAACAGAGGGAAAGAATTCTACGGATTTGTCTTTGGAGAGGGATGTTCGAGCCGTAATTGAGACGATGTCCGATGGATGGGAGGGGTTTGTTTTCAGAAAAAGTTCGCCGTGTTACTTTCATTCTCCCTCTTTCCCTCCGATATGTTCTGGACTTAGTCGCGCGACTTTTCTGGTTTTTTTTCCTTTTTCCTTTTATATTGTCCTTTTGCTGCCGGTCGTTCGATCGATATCGTGCTCAAGGGAGACAAATAAAGAGGTAGAGGAAGAAAGAGAGGCAAAGGGAGACAGAGGAAACCACGCATGACCTTTTCCGCGAATTTTTTTGCGATACACGCGCGTACGAACACGATTATTGCTTTTTAGCGCACGAAGCGTTTTATTGTCCATTATACCGAGATATCAAGGGAAAGATGAGGAAAGCATGTAGATAAATAAATAGATAGATCTGAGCAAAGGGGAAAGAAAGAGAATCCGCAATGCCCAGGGACATTTTCGTCGCAAACGACGGGAATAAAAGCGGCAAAGAGATTCGCGATCGACCACCCTCTTGAATTTCTGATTGAATCTTCCATTTTTATCATCGATTATCACTTCTCGGGTATCTTCTCTTTTAAGATCGGTTTTAAGTTCTCTTTTAAGATCTTTTAAGAACAGGTTTTTTTCACTCATTATGATAATGCACATTTAGCAAACATCTAAAAATGGCATAGCGACAGAAAAATCAGCTGATTTTATCGGGATTCAATTTTATATTTAACATTTTATAAAGGTCCAAAAACCCCATACTAATCATATCAAATGAAATCTTGCATTTAGTAAGATCAGCTATATAAATATACGAGCCTTTCTAAAAGTAAATTAATAGCTTAAAAAATCCTTTTCAGTTTTAAATTTATATAAGAGACGATTAAAATTTATGACTAATACTTGCAATTAGATAATTCATGATAGACTTCGTAGGACAAAATTTAATTTTATATGTTGTGTGTATTTTAATATACATTGTTTATGTTATATGATATGAATTATATATATATTCTGATTCTTCAAAATTTTTATATTATAAAGTTTTTATAATATAAAATAAATATATAGATTAGGATTAGATTTATTTCATTATAAAATAGAATTTTGTCCCGAATACACATATATAGATTGCCTAAAGTGTGAAGCTTTAAATCGAAAAAAATTGATTTCTACAACGAAAGAAATTTATAAAATAAAAGATTATATAAAAAGTGTAATATTTTTCTGTTTTTATCATATAAAATCTATGATAAATTTATAAATATAATTGTTATATTTAAATATATTTATAAATTGATCAATATATAAATTTATAATTATTATACATATAAAAGTATACCCTTGGTAATAATTATTTTGAGTTTGAGTTATCTTAATCACATTTTTATTAAATTGATAAATTAGCTTCAGTAAGCATCCATTCACTTTCGAGTATCCTAGAAGATCATCTTTTGATTCGTGCATGTGTGCATGTCTAATTTTTCATGGTTAATTATTGCATTATAGCATTATATAAACAGTTATAGACAGGTAAAAAAAATTATGACATTAAAGTTAAATGGAAAGATCATTCTAGACACATCGTCGCGATCTGCGATTCGAGTCCCAGCTTTGCGAAGAGTCAGCGCGATCTTATTTAACCTATTAAATCAGCAAAGTAGAGAGAGACTTCTCTTTAAATGTCTTTACAGCGCGATGTTAATTATGCTCTGTAAATAGTCTGGAAGGAAGCGGATAAACGAACGAATATCGGTGCGGTTTACTCGAGAGCGCGAGGGCAAATTAAATTCATCTAACGAAAACGCACATTCGCGAATGCATTTGTAAATTATAAACAGTTTAATTAAAAAAAAAGAGACCGCGGCCTTCGCGAATGATGTCTTCGACGTCGCTTACCTTCTCCGTTCACTCGACATTGTAATAATTTACACTCAAACAAACAAGACATAGATTTTGATATGCGAGCCATTAAAATAAGAAATAAACGAAAGAAGCGTCTAAAAAAGAAAACGAATAAGATTTTTTTCTTTCTGTCAATTTTTACATCAAAAAGGACCTTGCGCCAAATATATAAGATTGTGACTTTCGGTGAAATCGGCTGTTTTTTCATATGTTGTAATTTATGTCCTGCTGAAGAAAAGATGTAATAGCCTCATTAAAGCTAAATATTGGATAGTTACTGAGTTACAGTCGAACAACTCGCAGAGCTCAAGTTTTTCGCATTTGACTGGCTGTAAATCAGTAATAGTCCATTGTTTAGCTTTGAACCTATTGTATTTTTTATTCGACAGATCATAAACTACAGCATATGAAAAAAAACAGCTGATCTTGCCAAGATTTAATTTTATATGATTAGTACAGGGTTTTTGAACCTATATAAAATCTTATTGTTGAATGAAATTGAATCAGCTGATTTTCTCACATGTTGTAACTTACGACTTGCTGAACAAAAACTGTAACAGGCTCAAAGCTAAATAATAGATAGCTGTAACTCAATAACAATCGAATTTAGCTATTATATCTTTCGTTCAGCAAGTCATAAGCTGACAGCATATGAAAAAAAAACAGCTAATTCGAAAAATCTATGTATTTGAATGCGAAATTCTTTTGGAGGGCAGCGAAATTGTCTTGTTCCAACAGAGGACTCACCAACGATAGTCAAGAGAAACGCTGCACTTGCGATGGTGATCACCACGCAGAGGAGCCTCATATTATTATCGCCTCTCTTCCCTCGTCTTCTGTTCCCTTTCCTAGGCAGGTCCACGCACCAACCACCCTTACGACCTCCTGGTGTTTTGGCACCAGCAAGAGCTACGATCGCGGACGCATCGTCGAATCGTGATGCTACACCCTTCGCGTTGAGTCGGATTCTCTTTTTCGAAGGCAAAGGCACGCGAGTGTACTCGCGAACCGGCGAACGGAACGTACGTCTGTCGTCTCGACTGTGTGCGACCGGTCGCTCGGGACGTGAAAGACTGAGGAAAGGTGGCTCGCGAAGCCAGATAGCATAAGCCTCGCGTACAACAGAGTGTGTACGGGCTCCCTGCCGTTTTACAATCTCCGAGAGAGGAGCCCAGTCTCTTTCCCTTTGCGGAGGGATCCTCCTCGAGGCGATTCGCGACTCGACCTTCTGTCGATTGCAATAACAACGACGTATCCTCGCGTCGAGCTAAGTCTCCTCTTTTGGCGTGTCGAGAACAAATTCGTCCTCGTTCGATAAACGCGTCTCTGCTACCAGAAAATCTCGCGTGTTCGATGAATCACAAATAAGATTCGCGTAAATCAATTTTTCAAGAGCTACGCTTTACGTACAAAAACTGTAAAATATTTTTAATCTAGCTTTTATTCTTTAAAAAAATATTACAATATAAGAAAGAAAAAATTGTACAATTTAATATTTTTCTCACGTCAAAAAATATACATAATTTTTCTTTTTAATTAATTAACGATTCATCTCTGACAATTCTTTCCGTATAGAATATTGCGCAGAACCAAATTTGGCAAGACTATAATTGAGCTTCAAACAATTTCTTATTCTACATAATATATATACATATTTGATTAAAAAAATTTTTTCAAATGTTTCTAAACAAAATAATATTACGCGCCACGCCTTGGTTTATACTTTTTAGCAATTTCCATATGTATCGTCCCTGATGGTGCGGCTCGCTACGAATAAATTGATTGTCACGCATCTAGAACAAAGGTTCGCGCTTTCTCTCCGCATTTTGAACGAACGTCCCTCTTTGTCTGCAGTCATTCATCTCAATTGCCATTGGATTCAGCCACACTTTCGTCAATCAACATATTTTCACATACTCTTTCCGGTGCTACGTACAACTCGAAAGCGCGCGCTAACACTTCTCGAAGCGCGTATATTGTTGCTGCAAATTGCATATTGAAAAAAAAAAAGATTGTAACAATTGATTTGTATCGCGTTTGTTAGTTAATTAATATATTTATACATCATTGATTGAATCTCGATGTATCAAATCTACAATTGCAGAGGATTATTATGCTTTGAGAGAAAAAATTGATTGATAAAAAGGACTTGCAAATATGTGCAAAGCTGCAATTACACGAAGAATTTGTCGATTTATTATTAAAAAAATAATCGAGTAGTAGACGAAGAAAAAATTTCCTATGCCGCGATAGTGCGTAATGTTGTACACGTACACTTTGTTGATTCCGCCGATTCATTCCGAGAGTGAAGTGGTGGAGCGACCTAAGAGTTTGTTGAAGTAACACGGCGAATTTGAATGAAACCCGCGAAAATAGGAAATTGCCGAGGAAATTCACGAGCGCGAGCTCCATTCCGGGAAACGCGCATCCTCGTAATAATATTTTTCCATATCAAACTATTTACGCGAATGGAATGCATATATTATCATAAATATTTTCGCGACATTTGCGCATCCGGTTTTTCTTTCTCGTATGTATACTCCCCAAAAAGCATTGCTATATATATTTAATGAGAAAAATCTATTTCATGTTTTTTAATTTATCTTGTTATTTTGTTAAAATATTTTTTGGGGTTTGCTGTAAAATTTACCAAATGGATCTTTTAAGATGAACGTGACCATAAAAATGGATATATTTATTTTCGTTCATCTATTTCAGATAAGAATCAAATGGAACTATAATATTAACGCATCCATGGTATTTTTATATTTCAGAAGATAAAATCAGTCTTAATACGTGATACGTGCGAACCGGAAAACAGTGAAAATATAGAGATGACAATCGCTCAATACTTCGCATATCTACATGGCATTCTTCAAAATATGGAGGAAAAATTGACAAATCAGTTATATCAGCGGCGTGATTCTCTCAAGAATAATTTAGAAGAATTAGATACACAACTTCAGTCGCAAGAGGAAAGATTGAAAATGACGTTGCAGGTATGTATTTTTCGATAGTAAAGTATGTTTATAGAAAAGCATATTCGTACATATATTGCCTGCTTGGATAAAATATGTTTGTCAGTATTTCAACTATTGATAATTAGGTAAAATATAGATGATTATAATAACAAAATAAATTGATAAAAAATTAATTTAATAAATATAAAAAGGACAGCAAGTTCAGTGATATCGATTAAATTCAATCTCCCGTTGTCTAATTTACTATCAAACAAAATCTTTATTAAGTAATGTATGATTGTCTTATCTAGATGGCTTCGTACGCGAAACAGAACTTTCACAAGGTGGATATACGAAATGCAATAAACATTTTGAAGGAACTAGCGGACTTGCCTTGTCACTTGATGTATAAAGATACCGGTCAAAACTATAAGGCAACGTGAGTAATCGATAACTAATTCAAAATTAATAAAAAATACAAATTCAAAATATAAATTTATCCTCAGCACATATTGATTCAGTAAAAAAAATTCACGTGTTTTGATCCGCATCGTCCTACACCCCTGATAAGTTTTTTCTTCAACTGTTTACAAATAAAACAGTTACTGTTTCGACGTTCAAAAATAAAACAGTTACTGTTTCGACGTTCAAAAATAAAACAGTTACTGTTTTAACGTTCGTTTCTTGTTCTTCATTTCGTCTTCGTTCCCTTATTAAAAACTTACGAGGGATACAAGATAGGGATACGAATAAAGTTACGTGGATCTTTTTATCAATCGATGTACTAAGGATGGTCCAAAGGAAGAACTAAAGGTTCAATATAATTAGAGAAGTATTTTAAAAACAATTATATATATGTTGCGCCTAATTAATATCTGTTCTTGACTCTTAATATTATAGCTCTTGTGTTCTTCGTATCTGAATTTGTATTTTATTTATATGTCAGATTCATATATATTTTCAAATTATTAAAACAATTAAAAGGCGCGCGAATTTACGTGGCGCGAGTATCAGATGCAAGATCTTTTTGCTGACACGCGATTTTTTTTACATGACGTATCGTTCTTCATTGGATAACTGAAATATTTCTCCACATATATCTCTCGGTCTCACAAGTCGCAGCATCGAAATTCATATCTAATATCCAGAACGTAATTTTTTTTTATAAATTATATTATTTTTATCGTACATATGTGAACGTAAGGAGCGCTAATAATTATCAAATGATATCTAATTTTGTTCACTGGTGTAATAATGTATTTCTCTTTTAATAGGTTTACCGTCAATAGTTCGATTGTCGCAACATTAGAAAATCATTGTTCCATTCAAGTGCCGCCAATATCGTTCTACAGTCTCGTACGAACGGATGAATTACCAAAGAATTATATAGTATCACCCATAAAAAAGGAATTGAGTGCAAGTAAGAACTTGAGTCTTATTGTATATCGCGATTCATCAAATGGCTTTTCTAAAAATCTGCACTCTATATCTTGACCAATTTTCACATGTTCTTATACACATGAAGAAAATATGTAAAGAAAATAATGTATATATAAATTCTAAGAAATAATATTTCGAATTTTTTGCTATCTTTTATTTTAATAAAATCGCGACTTGAGATATAACTTCACGAATTTTATCAAATCTGTAACGAAACAATTATGAAATGTTATTGATAGAGATCTGTGAAGAACTACCATTGATGATGCTAACGTCAAAGAAATCAAACAGTTCATTGAACTCAACAATATCCTCCAAATCAGAAGATATGGAATACGTAAGGAAGGAAGATAAGAGTCAAGAAAGTAAGTTAATTTTTCCAATGTGTTTAATTCTCTAAATCTAAAAATCAAATTTTTCTTTTTTTTTTTCAAGGTACTTTCGAGTTTAAGGTAGACGTGATATATGTTATTAATCCGTCATTGTTCTTCGTCCGGAAAACGGCTTTGAAATCGCAATTTGAACAATTTGAACAAGACTTGACGAAATATGGAGATGACATAGGAAGTGTAAAGTCGTCGATCGAGCTCGAGCTAGGTACGCGCATACAAAGAATACCCGGTTTTGTTTAGCTTTTTTTTTTTTTCATCGATAATTTTCGTTTGCAGATGACATATGTATCGTTAAACAGAAGAAGAAATTAAATGAAAAATGGTTGCGAGGACGCGTGATCGAGGTTAATAGGAGCGAAGAGCGCGAGACGTCCTATAATATATTTTACTTAGACTATGGCTACGAGGAACGGAAGATACCGACTTCGAGAATACGAAACATCACCGACCATTTATTAGAATTGCCACCACAGGCGATTCGATGCTGTTTGCATGGTCTGATGCCGAAGTATCTTAACTGGACGAAGGCGAGCACAAACGATTTTATGAAGTTAACAAATGGAGTGGATTGCTCGATATGCATCATTAAATCTACCCCTGAGACGCTGCACGTGGATCTCTGTATTATCTCAAAAAATAATGACATGGGTCCACAATCAATGTGTAATCTTATGAAAGCTATGGATTACGCGCGTCTGAACGGTTCGCAAAGTATCACACAAGCAGTGAAACCCTTTTATGTATACAATAAAGAAGAACTTGCGTTACATAAGACAATAATGGTTTATGTTGGCTCGTATGAAGCTCCGGATAAGATTTATGTCCAGAAAATTGGACGACAAACTAGACTTTTGAAATTAGAAAAAGAGTTACAGGAATATTATAAGAAAGACAATTTGACGAAAATGATTGATACACCCCAAAAAGGTTTACCTTGCGGTGTGCGATTGGAAGATGGTACTTGGCAACGTGGCGAAATCGTTGAAGTTATTAACGAAAATGAAATTCGAGTGTATTGCGTGGATTGGGGACACACGACACTTCTACCGTACGATCGATTACGAGAAATTCCATATGAGTACACTGTATTTAATGCACAAGTAAATTACTCTCTTTTTTCAAGTTATTTATAAAAAACGAACACAATAATTTTCATCTTTTATTTCTCGTTTGTTCAGGCCATAAGGATATCGTTGATGTATGTAATGCCGGAAAATGATGGAAGATGGAAATCGGAGGCCTTCATAACGCTAATGAATCTCTTCAAGCGCGCAAAATGTGTAACAGTATCTCCTCGAAAGAAGATGGAGGACGGATATTTTGGTTGTATGTCCAGCGATAATGTCGATGTTAGTCGACATTTGAAAAATACAGGCGTCGTCAAAGATTTTCAAATGAAGTAAGTCAAGCTCGTATATCGTACTTTCGGGATAAAAAGACATTTTAAATTCAAGGTGCGACTTATTAATGTTTTTCCTCTTTTATAGCAGCAAATTTAAACACAAAGTGCTTAAGAATTCAGAATTTGCTTTTAATAAGCACACTGTTTTACCACTGGAGGCACTCGACAGTTTCATGAAGGAAGATTCGTACGACGAACTAGAAAACGAAAAGAAAAAATCAGAAGAGAAGAATGAGATCAGTAAAGATCCTTTTAAGATGGAGGTGTCCATACAACGAGTGGTCACACCGTACTGCATTTATGTTGCGCAGACGGAGCACGAGGCATCGAACACGAGAATGATGTCGGCGATGCAGAGCTTCTACAATACTTATAAATCCGAACCACGAGATAAGTGGAGCGAGGGTGATCTGTGCGCCGCATATTCCGCAAAGGATAAGACTTATTTCCGTGCAAAAATCTTAAAGATAAAATCCCTGACGGAGGTATTGGTTTATTTTTACGATATGGGTATCGAAGAGACAGTGACAATGAAAGATATACAGATTTTGCACATGAAATTTGCGAAAGAGGCAACGTATTGCTTCAAAGTGAAGCTAGCGGGTATTTTGCCGTGCGGTGGCTCAGCCATGTGGCTGTCGTTTTCTTGTTCGGTACTGTCTGATTTTATACAGGAAAATGCATATTGCAAATATTATATCACTAGACCGGTGAGTATGTTTTTATCTTGTTTAAAAAAAAGTAGTTAAATTATATATAATATAAATATTATATAATATATAATTATATATAAATATTAATTGCAAACTTAGTGCAACAAATTGATTGAAGATATAAACAATTAAAAATGTAAATTATTTATATCTTGTTTAAGGTTCAAGAAGAAGTTTATGACGATGCGATACCTGTCGAGCTTTGGATAAGACAGACTAAAATACCAGGACCACTGGCGCCAACTAAAATAGAGATTAATTCTATCAATAAAATATTGGTGCAACAGGGTGTGGCTTTACCCATTAAAGAGTGAGTACTTAAAACAAATTAATTTATACATATATAAAACAATTTAATTCCTATTTTAATCATATTATTTTTAATTCAACAGTTACTTTGTAAAGTCAGATTCAATTCTCGCTGCAGAGTTTAAACAACAATTAAAAGATAATCATCAATATGTATTGACTAAAGAAGATGAAGAAGAAGTAAAGTGGTTTAACAAAGAATTTAATAATGACAATAATTTGAAAAAAATAGATGAAACTATCTCACGTGAGAGTGATTCGTCGTGCTATTCTAATAATGATGCATTACCTAATTTAATCATCAAAAATCAGATGGGCTCGATGAATCGCGAGTGTGCAAACAAGTGTTCTGATTGGTTACCACCGATTGAAATAACGGAAAAAGTATTCAATGCTATACCGACATACGTGGACGACAAATGCGCAGTGTATCTGCATCCTAAAAAGCACAGTATGTTGCTTATATAATTAATAATATAATATAAAATAATATAATTATAATAATAAATAATTAATAATATAATTTAATAACAAAATTCTAAACTCATCGATATCTATATATATTTACATATCATTAATATTATTAGAATATAATAATACTATTTATTTAAAACTCATGTGCTTCTCTATTTTGTTATTAGATGCCGATATGCTTTATTACATAGAATCTGAATTGCAGTCTCATTATAAAAACATTAAAATAAAAAAGGAAAAAGAATGGAAAGTGGGAGATATATGTATTGCTCGATATCACCATGACAAAAAATGGTATAGAGGCCGAATTACTAAAAATTTAGGAAATGCATTAATGGTAAGAGAAATGATGAGAAATATGTACATCTATCCATTATTTGTAACTATTTGTCTTCAATTATCTGGATTGTATATTTTTGTTCCTAGGTGGAATTTGTCGATTATGGTAATGTGGAAGAATGTGAAAAGGAACATGTGACAGATTATATTAGATTGGGACATATTCCTATCCAGTGCACAAAATGTATCATTAGCGGATTAAAACCGGTAATGTAACTTTATTTAAAATTAGTGAATTTAAAATTAATAATACTAATTTTATTTTATAATTTTTTTAGCTAACAAGTTTTTAATAATCTTTCTAAATTTCTTTTGTACAAATATAGGGAATCTCAAAAGGTAAATGGATGTTGCACGATTTAGATCGAATACATGCTCTTATTGTCGAGAAAGAATGCAAAGTGTCTGTTTTACAACGACAATCTACACATTTAATTGTAAGTTATGTCCACATGTTGGAAAGTGATTTAATATAAAACCTACGCTTTTTAGTCGGAAGTTTTCGATATTCTTCAGTTATTTTATTGCGATCTATATTATTTTACAGCAACATTTTTTATTGCTTGCAGATATCAATAACATTATTGCGACCATGGAAATGTGATTTGTTGTTGTATCTTACAAATCACATGAATATGAAAATTATAATCGATCATAAGGAGTTGAGTGAAAGCGAATCCTTAAAATCGGATTCTAGCAGAGACGTTATCATCGAAGAAATAATAAATGATACACTATGCACGGCTAATACTTCAGAAGAAAATTTATCAGAAACATATTTGCAAGGTATTACATTTACTGAGAATGTGATCAGCGGTAATTCTGCAGAAATAGAGTTTTTGAATCTAGAATCGCCTGATTCACTTAGCAAACAGAGCGATTTTGAAAATATAGCTTGGGCGGACAAGCAATTGAAAGCTTGTTCAACACCAGAGCCAGAATTAGAGGAAGAAAAAGATATTTTCGATGTATACAAACAATTGATAATTCCACAAGAGACCAAGTATATTGAATTAATATTATGTTTCAATAAAGATCCCATTACCTCATTCGCGCACTTGGGTGAGAACAATGATCCCATGTTTTCCAAAGTGAGCATACACGAATTTACATCTGTTATTAAATACATTCACATAAAGCATTAATCTAATTTATATTTATCTTTCAGGTATTTCATGATTATCATGTGCAATATAAGGCTATGATGTCAGACTTGCAAACCGATGTTTATAATCAACCGTTAATCGAGTCTTTTGAAAATAGTAAGTAATCTTTCTTAATAGTTTCTTATAAAATAAATAAATATATGTAATTTGTATAATCGATACATAGCGAAATTTTATTGATACTTGTATATTATAATTTTTTTAGATACTCCATGCATAACGAAGTTTTCTGATGACATGTGGTATAGATGTGTCATTATAAATAGTAAAAAAACTCCAGATTCTCAATTCATACAGATCTCACTGTATTATGTTGATTATGGTAATTATGAAGATAAAACAGTGGATTTATTCTCAACGTAAGTTATTACTAATTCATTATGTGTGAAACATAAGAGTTATTTGTTGTAATAATTCATAAAAATATGTGTTCTAGAAAGCACGGTTTACATGCACCAAAAGAAGAATGGCTAGAATTGCCTGCTATGACTGTTAAATGTACATTTTGGGGGCTAAACTTTGTCTCTAACAATACCACTTTATTAGCATCAAAGTTAGATGAAATATATAATCAAACAGTTGTGGCCCGAGTTAAGGCAGGTCTTTTTAAAATTAAATTAATATATTTAATATATTATATATTTATATATATATATATATATATATATATATATATATTCAATATATTAATTATATATTAATATATATTAATATATATAATTGATATATTTAATATATTCAAAATTCGCATAAAAACTTAAATTAATTATCATTATAGGAAATTAACGATGGGAATAGCATCGTGGCAGAAATATACAAGGACAAAACGTGCAAAGAACTTTTTACGCTCACTTGATAAAAGAAGGTTTATATCGATTTAAGAACTCTGAAGAAAACTGAGAAGCAATTTTAAGCGCCTAAAATTTTACTGATTAATTTTTTGATTAGGATGATGATTAATTATTCTTTAAATCATGTACATTATGCAATTAATTTGCATGTAAACGATTTAACAAATCAGTCTGAAATTTGCAGTTTCTTTTCTATACGTAAATATAGGTATAAGGTTGACTACTGAACCTCTAGTAATAAGAAAAGCAGATATTATATTTTGTAAGAATGTATTCATTGTACATCACATAAGATTACTTTAAGATTATATTACCTTTTTAAAGTAGAGATTTACTCTTTAAGAGATTAAGTTGTACATCAGCGCTGAGTACTCTTTGCAATTTGTTCCTTTAGAACCAAAATACTTTGTCTCTGTTCAGGTGGAAGCATAGCAATTTGCTCATCTGATAATTGCAACACTTGCATTATTAAGGCCGCCTGCAAAAGAAAGCAATGATGTGCTTTGAATTTATTTAAAACACATAAAGATACATATATGTATTCAGAATTTTTTTTTGTTATTTTATAATACAATCAAATCTAAATTTAGTAGCAAATATGATTATATATTATACATTAATGCGCTAAATTTGTTATAACACTTTAATTATACATTCATGTAATTATTTTCATTTTTATATTTTATTTCTTAAAACATTGATAGTTAAACAAATAATTATATTATTTTCTAAGTGCTATATATTTTATGAAAATATAAATATAAAGCGTAAGTTTTCAAATGAAAATATTGCAACAGTTTTGTGAGTAGAAGTTATTTCATTACAACATACCTTTTCCTGATCGGACGCGCCACTGGGAATGTTTCCTGCTGGAGACATTCCAGCCATAAGTCTGGATGTCGCAGAACTTGCTGACTGTGAAAGCGCAGCAGTAGAACTAGTCGTGTTGCTCGATACGGGGCTTTGTATTGGAACAGTTGGTGCAGCAACTGGTCTCGGAACAACCGGTGGAGCAACAGGCGTTGCTTGAGAATGGACAATTATATAAGATTTAATTATATAAAATAATTATATATAACTTTAATAATTGTATTAATATCATAATAATAATTATAATTATATTAATAATAATTATATAAGATTTAAAAAAATAGATTCTCCCACTGAATGTACAATTATAAAAGAATTGTGTATTTAACTAAATTAATTGTGATTTCTATTAAACACGCTTAATAAAGAAAAAAATTCGAGATACTTACGAGTAGCTTTGGTAATTCTAGGATCAATGGGCATCCTCGGATCTCTAGGATCTCTCGGATCTCTACCGAATCTATCAGCTCTCGGATCACGGCAAAAACTGAAAGTAATATTATTTTAGTACAAGAGGGAGTACACAACAATCAAATATATTAAAGATTTTTATATATATAATGAAACCTCTCGACTCCTTCCACAGGAAGAGTGCTGTAAAAAAGAGCAATTTCTTTCAATTACACAATCTACAATGGATCTTTGGACAACCGAAATGTACTTACTTGTCTGTAATATTAAATGTATTAGGTCCTCTGGGATCAGCGGCAGCTGGTATTACTGGTGGTGCAACTGGGGTAGGCTGCACTTGAGGAGGCCCTCTTAAATCTTGATCCATCCTAGCTAACCGCGGATCTATTGGTCTATCCAATCGAAGATCTACATCTTGACCTATGTATTTTGATTGAGCTTTAGAAATTCTTTCAGCATAATGATCGTGAAGATTTCACAATTTATGTGTGATGTAATGTAGCAAATGATAAATCGAATAAAAGTGTTACATTAATTTACTGACAACTTATTTTCAAGTCTAAATAGTATGTGAAAGATTGATAAATTATGAGATATTTGAATATAATTAAAGCTCCTGATTTCTTGTTGATATCATACTAAATTACTGAAAGAAATTATAAATTTTATTTTTAATTGACTAAGATTTACAACTATTGATTAATTTATAAATCTTTCAAAAAGAGAGTTTGGTATATTTTACTAATTTATATTACTGAACACACATTCAAGAAAACTTATTTATTTCAATATTTCAAGAATATTTCAGTATTTCAAGAATAAAATTCATATAATTTCTTGCTTGTAATTTATAATTCAATATGACTAAGGGCACAAAAGCTTTATAATGACAAATAATTGTATAATTCTTTACTAACTTTGAATAAACAATTAAGATAAATTTTCTTACCCGCGAAAATGGGCGCTGGAGGATTAACAGCTGGTGGAGGTCGCGGCGGAGCCCATGGTTCTTCAATTCGTGGTTGGACCTGTTGAATTGGCTTTTCTGGTGGTGTCAAAACACCTGGAATGGGATTAGCCTTGTGCAACATGCTGACTGCTGTATGTGGATCCACTATCCTCATGACCACCTGTGCTTGAAGCAAAGCATATGCCAATTGAGGATTTTGCAGAAGCATTTGACGCGCCTCATTCGGATTATTTTGCACGCAAAGTTTCATTTGCTTCATCAATTCGAACATTTGCTCCGGTGGTAGAGACGCTACAGCTTTGCTTATGGCTTCTGGTGCCTTGTCCGACTGAACAGCCTCCCCATATGGGTTTTCGGTATTCTGTCCTTGCAGAAGACTCTGCATCTCCATTCGACTTTTCTCTGTACAAGCATTATCGACACGCAATGTTCTTCCACCAATTTCATATCCATTCAAGTTTCTCATAGCACTTAAAGCCGTTTCCTGATCTTTATATTCGCAGAAACCATATCCTTTAGGTTTGCCTGTCTCACGATCAAAAACTAATCTACAACAATTGAAAAATTTTATATGTAAGAAAGTACTTAATATTTTGTTCGCGATGATTAAAGATTAGAAAATTAATTATATGACAAACTTAAAAATCAAATGATTTTAATAATAGAAAGAAAATACATTTGAAACTTTTGTTTAGGTTTATATATTTAGATAATAATTTTAGATATTAATATATTTAAAGTATTGTGTTAGAGGCAACATTTTAAAGTGCTGTCAAGTATTAAAAATGTGCAAAAAAATATATATGTAGAAAAGTTCAAAGATAATTAGCTTGTTAAATGTAATTAATTAAGATGAATAACAGAAAATATAGGAGACTCACTTGAAGGAAAGTACTGGTCCAACTTCGCTGAAGATATCCTTTAGATTCTCCTCTGTAGCCTCGTACGGGATATTCCCGACTATAGAACAATCGGAAACATTGTGTACATCATTAAAACGCTATAACCTCGCGAAAATAATAGCAACTCGTATTAAATTACTCACCGAAAACACTTCGCATTGATTTGTCCATTAGCGATTGATCCGAAATAGTTGAATTACTCATTTTCGCACTTTTGTTTTTCTCCGGATTACAAATGAAAAACACTCGAAAACAGGCCCCTGACACTAACACTTTTCTATACTATCTAATTAATAACGCCGGTCACCACGTGGCGCTAAATCTATACACAAACACGTCCATTTCGCAAACTAAAATAACAAATCTATTTTTCGATTATCGATAAAATCACCGCTCAATGGCGTATAATTTTTTTTTAATTTATAAATATATATATGTTATTATTAAAATATTTTCGCACACATATGTAAATGATACACTGTGACACACATATTTTTGATAAGAAAATGATTTTTCGAAAATATCTTCAGAGAGAGAAAGAGATCTCTCGCCACAATATATTGTACGAAAAACTCTTTAATTAAAGTAGTATTGTGCGATAACATGAAACGCAGTGAAGCATACGAAATGCCAATTATAAAGCATAATGCGTAGAATATTTGATCAAAGCAGTATTACGACTCGTAAATAAGTGACACGATGCAGCGACAACGAGACATCCCGCGTGTTGTATTTTAATTGTTTGTATGATCCTATTGCTATATTACATTTTTTCCGAATACATCATCTGTTCAATAATGTATCAAGAATAATAAATCATCTGTTTATACATATATGTACGTATAATGCATCTTCGCGAAATGAATGATCAATATCGGTGTCACAAACTTTTGTACGCACAATATAGCATTTCCGTGAGTTTCTGTTTCCAGTTTGCCTTTATCGAAATTTAAATGCCCGCGTAATTTAAATTTGCATTAAAATATAAACGCCAACCAATTTTAAATTATCCAGAGAGAAACTTGAGACACAGATTAATAGATTCTATTAATCTGTGATTATAACACATATTATACATAATATTTGTGTACATTTCGGAGAAGTTGAAATATATTCCTAAGGCAAAGAGCGTTTAATGGACCAATCAGCACAAAGGAAATTTCTCTGTTCGAATTGGTTAATTCGAGGCTATTCTATCACGGATGAGATTTTCGAACACACCTTAATCAGACCGACCTAGCCTGACAATTACAAAAATTGCAATATTTTTGGATAAAAAATGTTTTTAAATAAACATTTAGAGAATAAGCTACTTTAGTACAATTTATGAGTGAAATATAATGTTTTATAAGTGAAGTATTTAATATATTTTTCTGAAAATGCCTATATATCATGTTAGATATAATCGCTACCGGTGATATTCCTTACGAAGGAATGTCGTTTATGCGGTTTATGTCGTTTCCGTGGTAACGGTATGAGTGCTAAACAGATCTCTCGTATATCATACGAGACAATACGAGATAGCATTGTTGTACATTAATTCAATAATATCAAACAATCATTAATAAATGTGACACGATGAGAGCACTTCCAACATGGGTTGACAAGGTGCAAGAAAAGTCAGACCAATGGTAAAATTTGTATAAATTTTGTTCTTAATTATATTATTTAATTTCTCCAAATATATATTGCATTATCTGATTTTATGTTTCATTGATTACCTTCAAAAGCTTAATAAAGCTGTTTGTGTCGATATAAATTCTATTTCTTGTTATACTATTTAACTTTTATTTTTATACTCTCCTTCATGCACTATAACTATTTTATTAGCACTATAAAGTGACATTATTTCAGTATATATGACCTCTGTTTTAATCCGGATGGCACACAATTGATTGTTGCATCTGGCAATCAAGTACTTGTATATGAAACCAATGATGGTGCTTTGATTCAGCCGCTAAAAGGTATAAATATACATTTATAAAAATTTAAAACGTTTTTCCTTTTTTTTAATATAATTTTATTTTCTTAATAATATTTTAAAGGTCACAAGGATACAGTATACTGTGTATGTTATGCGAAAGATGGTAAAAATTTGCATCAGGAGGTGCAGACAAAAGTGTCATCATTTGGACTTCCAAGTTAGAAGGAATATTAAAATATTCGTAAGTTATTTATACATATAAATATAGCTGCATAATATGAATATAAATTATCTTTAATTACATATATTACATATTCTCTTTATTTAATTTAGACATAATGAAGCTGTACAGTCAATGCATTTTAATCCTGTCTCACATCAGCTGCTCAGTTGTTCAATCTCAGACCTTGCTTTTTGGTCTGCGGAACAGAAAGCTGTACAGAAACATAAGTCTGGGGGAAGAGTCAATTGCTGCGCATGGACGAGAGATGGACAATATTTAGCTCTTGGTCTTGCAACTGGATATGTATCCATAAGAAATAAAGTATGTTATTTCTTCTAAATAATTTTAAATAATTTCATATGTTTTGCATATTTTTGTATTCTGTACTAATCTACAATAATTAACCTCATGTTTTTTAGAATGGCGAGGAAAAACACGCATTGAACGGCAACCTGGAGTACCAATTTGGAGTTTAGCATGGAATCCTATACAGTACATACAATCTATTTAAAATACAATTATTATGTATAACAGGAAGTACAAATAAGAATATTTTATATATAATTATATCTTTAGGGATGATGGTATGGATGTTCTTTGCATCGCTGAATGGAATGGAATCATCTCATTTTACAACATTGGAGGAGAAGTTGTCAAAAGAGAGAGATCACTCGGTTTTATACCGTTGAAAATCGCTTACTTTCCAGAAGGACAATATCTTCTCGTTTGTGGTAGCAATAAACAGTGTCTTTTAATGACACACGATGGAATTCAGTTAATCAATGTAGGTGGTACTTTCTCGTCATGGGTATGGAGCTGTGCCATTCATCCAACTGGCTCGCATGTTGTAAGTTACATCACATTGTTTTATGGCATCATTTTTTTTCTTGATAATGTATTATTTAATAATTTTTTATAGGTGCTTGGTTCCCAAGATGGGACGATAACGTATTTACAACTAACTTGGAACATTGTGCATGGTTTATACGGGGACAGATACGCGTACAGAGAAAACATGACTGATGTGATAATACAGCATTTGATTACGAATCAAAAAGTTCGAATTAAATGTAAAGATCTGGTGAGTATGATGTTGACATTTATTTTAAAAATAATTGAGGTACGAGATATATTTAAAATGTTTAAATAACTTAATGTAATACATAATCTCCACTTGATTAATGTAATACATTATTACATTAAAATATCAATTTTAGGTATGCCGAATTGCAGTGTATCGAAACAGATTAGCTGTACAATTGCCCGAGCGTGTAATCATATACGAACCATCCGGTACCGGTAGTGAAGGAATGCATTATAGAATACGAGACAAGCTTAATCAAATATTGAACTGCAATTTATTAGTTGTTACATCGAATCATTTAATCTTATGCTTGGAAAAGCGCCTACAAAGTCTCTCATTTACTGGGATAATAGAACGAGAGTGGATACTCGATGGACTCATCACTTACATCAAAGTAGCAGGTGGTCCCGATGGACAAGAGTGTTTAATAGCAGGTATAAGTTTTAAAGAATTTATTATTTTACTTGTTATAATATAAGTTGACTGTTAAAGCGAAAATTTGATTTATCAGGTTTGAAGAGTGGACATATAATAAAAATATATCTCGACAATCCGTTTCCCGCGCACATCACGAAAATTGAGGATGCCGTGAGATGTCTGGACATCAGTTCCTTGAAGGAAAAGATGGCGGTGGTTAGCGAGGCTGGTACTTTGTCCATATTCGATTTATGTACTGGCGAGAAATTGCAGGAATTCCAAAATGTCAACAGCGTAGCTTACAACATCGCTTTCGAGGATATTATGTGTTTTGCGGGCAACAACTATCTGACGATAAAGTCGCCAACTTTTCCGAATACAAGCAAAAGTTCTCCGGTTTTGTTGTAGGCCACAACGGTTCAAAGTTATATTGTCTGAACGGTTCTTCCATCATTACATTAGAAGTAAGTTGTGCTATAGAACTATTCGAGATAATATATATATATATATATATATATATATATATATATATATATTGTATATATTGTATATATTTTAATATTAATTAATTACCGGCAGGTGCCCTTGTCATTATTCATGTATCAATATCTGGACATCGGATTATACAATCACGCTTATGACATAGCGTGTTTAGGCGTAGCCGAGTCAGACTGGCTTGCTTTAGGAACGGCGTGTCTGGATAATCTGGAATTAAATATCGCATCCTCGGCATTCGCGCGAGTGAAAAAGCTGCGTTACATAGAGATCGTATCCGAAGTGGAGGAGAAATTAAAATCGGGTGAATGGGGACGAGAAGCCTGCATGGCTACCGCTGCAGCTGCTATGGGTAGACTTCGCGATGCAGCGAAGCTCTATCAGAAAGCTGGTTTGCAACAATATGCTCTGGACATGTATTCCGACTTGCGGATGTTTGACATTGCTCAGGAATTTATAGCCTCTGGTAACACACAGGTTCGTTTTTAATTAATATTTTGAGCTCAAACTTGGTATAAAATATGAAAATAATAAAAATAACGAAATATATAGTAAATAACACACATGATTTAATTTTATATAATTAGTACAGGGTTTTGAATCTTTATAAAATCCTAAATGAAATTGAATTCTATTGTAGTAAAATCAGCTAATTTTCTCACATGTAATTTATGACTTGCTAAACAAAAAAAATTACACTAAAAGTTAAATTTTTTTTATTAATATCTATCATATTGATTTAACAATTTACTCAATTTTTAGGATCGTACAGTATTGTTGCGACGACGGGCAGAATGGGCGAAAAGTTTGGGCGAACCGCGCGCTGCAGCCGAGATGTTCCTCTCTGCAGGAGACATCGATCGTGCCATCAGTATTATTGCCGAATACGGTTGGATTGATATGCTAATCAAAGTGGGCAGGCAATTGGACAAGGCGGACAGAGATAACTTATCTATGATCGCCAAGAAACTCAAACAGTTGGGTGCTTCGCATGGCGCAGCGGAGATATTTAGCAGACTCGGGGATGATCCTGACGTTGCTGATGTGCTTGTGGACGCGCAGGCGTGGCCCGAAGCTTTCGAACTCGCGGAAAGAAATCCAAAGTTGAAATCTCGGGTATATGGACCTTATGCACGATGGCTGGCGGAGACTGGACGATTTTCTGAGGCCCAAGAAGGTACTAAATTGTCATTATATGACATGTACAATAGACGTGGGTACAATATCGAAATATTTATTGTCTGTTACCAGCATTCCAAATGGCGGGACAACCTGAAGAATCCATTCTTGTACTTACAATGCTGGCTAATAATGCTATAACAGAAAAAGATTTCGCGATGCCTCTTATTTTTATTGGCTCTTATCACAATTAACTTTGAATCTATCAAAGAGTACAGAAGAGATAAAAATAATGTTCCTTAAGTACTCTGACAAAGCGGATATTTATTATGCATATCACGAAGTACATAAATACCTGGTACGATTTGATAATATATCGAAGCATAATGTAATATATTGTATTAATATATTAATACATTATATTGTAGTATATTATAATGATATAATATTGCAATATAATGTATTATATTATGTTATTAGATTACATATACGATATCTTCTTACAATTAAAGAATATCTTTCTATTGTCTTTTTATAAAAAAGTTAATATATTTTAGGAAGAACCTTTCACATCACTAATGCCAGAAGCATTATTCAACATTTCAAGATATCTGCTCATGAAGACACAAAATATGCGTCTAGATGGTGTCTCAAAAGTAAAGATAATGTACAGTCTTGTAAAACAAGCACGAATATTAGGTGCCAATAAGCTGGTCATGCAACTGTTGGATCAATTACGCGCGATGAAAATTCCTGCAAACTTTCTGGCACAAGTGGAAACATCGACTCTAGCTGCTAGATCTTATCCGTATCGTGATCCAGAAGAATTATTGCCTTTATGTTATAAATGCTCTACATTCAATCCGTTATTACCGACGAGTAATGCCTCTGGTAGTAATTGTACGCAATGCGGACTGAAATTTCAATATTCTTTCATCATGTTTGGTAAGTAATAATCAGATTGCAACTTATAAAATTAAAAGATTAAGGTTCTTATGTCTTTTCTCATGCGACAATGTTATAAATCTGATTAAATAATTATATAAATTATATTTTAAATTAAAATAAATTATATTTTAATATTGTTTTTACAGAAATCCTGCCATTAGTTGAATTTGAATTGGAGGATGACATTACGGATGAAGAAGCAGAGAAGTTGATAGAAGAACCATTACCTTCTTCCGACGATTTTACAGTTTCCGATCAATTTACCGTAACTTCCAATGAGGCTGATCTTTTTACCGCGCGTTTAATAAGATACGAGGTATAATAAACGTATTTAAATATATATACATATATAATTATGAAAAGTATTTATTTTATTTTAAAAATGACATGCTTTCCACAGGAAAAATCTAACAATTCTACGATATTGGTGGGAAGAGGAATATTGAAGAGTATGGATCCGTCCACTGTAATAATTATTAAATGGCCTAAGCCCTTTAAAACTAGATACTTCAGAAATCTTTTACCTGATCTCCAGATTAGCTTGTGCAAGTGCTGTTTAAAGGTAAGCTTATTTTAAAAATCACTTTAATCAGGAAAATTCTAACGAAAGATGATGGCAAATTTCGCCTATTTTTGGGACCTCAAATTTCAAACTTTTTCATGGCAAATAGTACTATGAGATGAAACATTAATCCCAGTAAAATTTCAAGATGAGCATAGGCACAGTTCCGGAGATACAAGGAGGAAAATGATGATTTTTAGTCAGTTTTATAAGAAATTATCACTTTCACTTCTTCATATCTAAGGAACCGTGCCTATGCTCATCTTGAAATTTCTCTGGGATTAATGTCTCATCATATAGTACTATTTGACATTTAAAAAATTTGAAATTTGAAGTCCCAAAATTCGACTCTATAAAATGGGCGAAAAACAGGTCTTTTTACTATCATTCTTTCTTATAATTTTACATGAAGAGTTATATGATCTTATATAATTATTATATATTTCAGTTGTTTCATTCGGATGACTATGAATTAGCATTATTACGACACGGACATTGTCCGTTCTGTCGAACGCCGAATGTGACTATAGGTTGAAATAATGTGAAATTTATTGTAGATTGCATATACTTATATCAAATTGTTAAAAAAAAAAAAAATGTTTTGTATCTATTTAAATCTATTATGATTGTACAGCATTATATTATGAGACAACAATACATATATAAATTGTTTTTATTTATAAAAATGTATATTATGTTATTTTCTGATGCGGTATATATGTCATTGTATTATACAAACCAGGATTATCTTATATACATCTCGTACAGTTGAACGTACAGTAAACTCGAGGTTTCGGCTACTTGCTAATTGCCTGAGCATACACCGTTGCCGTTACTGGTGTCTCCTTAGAACCAGAATATATAATTCTTAAAGTATTCATCTCCAGACATGATCAGTGTACTATTAGTCAGCTGCTTTGCTCTCGTCCAAACTGTGACAAACAATGAAATTATTAATTCGGATGAATCTTTAAAGGAAAATGCAACTTTGGAAGTTCCACCATTTAATCATCAGGGAAGATGTAAGTCATTTAATTGAATATGATATTGAGTGGACATATTTTAAACGATATAGTATCTGTTCCTCAGTTTTCCCGCTATTCAGTGTCGTGCGATTTGCCAACACCGAGTGCTTATCGAACACCGATCAACTCAACGGCACGTGTTTCACAAGACGAGAGTGCCTTAATTACGGAGGTAATCCTTCAGGATCATGTGCTAACGGATTAGGCACTTGCTGTGTATGTGAGTAGGAAAAAGGAAAGAAATAGATATGCTTCCTTAACAAATAACACAACTTTTATGTCGCAGTTCAAAAATCTTGTGGCTCTACTACTAACATGAACAATACGTACTTCGTAAGTCCAAGGTATCCAATTACCTATCGAGGAGGAGAACGATGCACGATCACGGTACAACGCTGTAACTCTAACATATGTCAGGTGTGTAACGCGCACATTATGTATCAACCTTTCAAATCTCTTTATTACATCACAGTAATTTATATTTACAGTTGCGATTGGATTTCTTGGAGGCCACTTGGGCGCAACCCAATGCAACTGGATATTGCGACTTGGACGTATTTCTGGTATCTGGTGGCTCGTCAACGGTACCGAGAATATGCGGAGAAAATACTAATCAGCATGGTAAATCCATTGATTAATTAAAATTCAAATTGAACAAGACGGAGAATTAATTAGATTTCATTTTCAGTATACGTCGACTTTAACGGAGCAACGCCGATTACTATATCCGTCGACACTAATGCGGATTACGTATTTGATCGACGCTGGAACATAAGACTTCAGCAAATTGCGTGTGATTCTGTGTGTAAAGGTACGTAAGGTATGCCTGTTAACGCATATATATATATATATATATATATATATATATATATATATATATATATATATATAATGTAATATTAACATATCGAGAAACTCATAGAATTGTTTCTCATCTCGGTTTCAGTTCCTAATGGATGTTTACAATATTACAAAACTGTCTCCGACACTGTAATGAGTTTTAATTATGGTACGACAGAAAATGCCCGAGGTACGTGCCAATCAATCAAATGTGGTGTAAATCTTTGAATGAACAATCTAAAAATAAAAATAAGATAAAAATAAATAAAATAAATGATTGCAGCTCCTCAAATTGGAACGCGACAAATGATCAATCATCGTTACGGTGTGTGCGTCAGAATGGCTCTAGGATACTGCAGTATTGAATGGTCTCAGATGAATACTTTATCCTTCTCTGTTTCTGGAGACACGGGTTCATTCGATCCAGATATAATAGGTAAACAGATCAGAGAAATCTTTCTTCCATAATTTCTCGTTTAACAAGTATTATTAAGTATATCTTATATTCTTTGTAACATTGAAAGATACTTTGCCACAGCGTTTAATTTTTATGCTTATTTTAATAGGTACAGACTTGGTAGCAGAATCCGGTGCGAGCTGTACGAATGATTTTGTGATTATACCCGATCCACGTGAAAATGGCGTTGCTACTAACACAGACAGGTTTTGCGGAAACGGATTTATAACTAAAACATGTAAGTAATTAAACAGTTCACGTATCTATTATATATTATAAAAAAAACCGCTCAATGTTTCTGAATTTTTATACAGCGAATTTAAAGCCATTTGTACTTTATGTCGTTACAAATGGTGACGAAATGCAAGAAGCCCAAAATAAAGGTTTTAAGCTTATGTTTCGTCAGCTGCCTTGTGCAGTTTAAGAATACTGTTATGCGAGATATGAATTTTGATAGAGGAAATAATAAGCGTAATTAAATTATTTATTAAGTATCATTTATTGTGTAAATAAATAATTCTATACACACCAGGCGCAATTGGTTGATATATGTATATATATCACGTAAAAACTCTTATCTTAAATTCGCACTACCAGAATGTGTATCAACTTGTTCTTTCACAGCGTTGTACCAACCGCCGATTTTCGTATGAGTTAGTAGATCTTGAAAAGCGTCGCAGCCTTCGATACTCTTCAAGATCCCGTACACCGCAAGATCGGATAGATCGGGCTTGCTGCCACCCATAAAAGCGGTGCCTCGCGCGTGGATGTTATGCAACCAATAATTTGCCTCGTCATACAACGACTGTCGAACATCATCCTTTAAACGGTGTCTTTTCTTGAGTCTTTTTCCTATCAACCACATTGCCATCGCACCTACGTTTATTATTAACATCCGCTCCCATGACGGAAAATATTCCTCCCATTTGCCGACCTGGATAAAAAGTTTTTAATTATATTTTGTACATCATTGCATTTATATTGTATATACAGGGTATTCCATAAAAAATTGCTGAAATTAATCAGCTGTCATTTTTAATGTATGCAGTTATTGAGAAAACAAAAATTGTGTTGAATGGAGGAAAGTCTACAGTTTTTAATAGATATAAATAAAATGTTTGTATACCAATATTTTATTGAAAAATAAACTGGCAAACATTTTATTTATATCCATTTGCATTAAAATGATAGATCACTCACTTCTGAAAACCAGTCGAAAGTTCTATAGGATTCATCAATCGTTCTATATACATTTGGCGAAAGAGTGTGAACAAACACTTCATCTGCCCATTTCCTCCACTTACGTTCTTCGCTAAACAACAAAAGAGAAATGATAAATTGCAAAACATGAAAATGTGATTAATCGTTTTTCATATTAATTAGAGTTTACATACGTTATATCATTCATCGTTTTGTCCTTTGGAAGATTTGTGTTAAACATGAGAAAGTACTTATTTATGGTTTCGTATTTAAAATTTCCTTGTTCATCATGCATCCCTACACTTGGGTAATAGTTTGACAATTCCTCAACCTTATGAGATGTATCGTGTAAATAAGATGCAAGAAGAGATATTATCATGGAACTGTCGTTTAGGGGTTGATAGCCTCCTTCTACTTTAGTCAAGAGGATTGGAACTTTTTTGTAAGAGGACCATCCAATCTCTTTACGGAGTACCGGATCTACTTCCACAACATCATAAGATATTCCATAGTAATCTAAGAAAACTCTAACCTGAAATAATAATTAATTTCATATATAAATGTCACCTGATGTACAATAATGATAAAATATTACAATACAATTTTTCTATCCCTAGATTTTTTTATCCATAGAATAATATGGATTGATCTCTATAATGAATCAAGTGCTTTGATAAGCATAGAATTAAAATAATCTGCTTGCACATGCAATAGTCTTTTTTGTATGTTTTCACTTACTTTACAACAAAACGGACAGGTTTGATACTGAAATAACGTGACATTTAAACTTGTAGAGTCTACTGGAGATATAACCTAGAATAGAAAAATTTAACTTATTAAATGTTGCAGATGCTGTAAAATTTTTCACGACATAATCGTTGAAATACTTTTCTGGACGGTGTGACAGGTGGTTTATATTTCAACAGCGTAACTTCCGCCTGCGTTCCTTCCAGAGCGATATTTTCTCGAGTTTTGTTGATTTTGTGATAGGCATAACCTGCACCCACAGCAACGCCGGTAACCGCGCCGAGCAAACCGATTTTCACTAAGCTCTGCGCTTTTTGCGGCTGTTGCACCATCGTGCAAAACGATCGTAGGTTCTTGCTCGCATAATAGTTATTATTATTTAAATATTTCGTTCGTGGAATAAACCGGGCAAGTTTGTGTACAGCAGCCATTTTTAAGTTACATGTCAGTCTGACACCTGACACTCTTGCACGAATATGTGCAATTCTGTACTATACTGTACTATATTTTACTATATTCTACATTCTCAGATTTAAAAGTATATAAATACGAATAAACAATAATTAATTAATAAAGAGGAATGAAATAAAGGAATTAAAATATTTCCTCATATATCAAAATTTTTAATTATGTCACAAAATATGGTAAGAATTTTTTTTATAACTGTTGAAATAATAATGAATTAAACACCCTTTATATGTGTAACAATAAATATATATTTTGTCTATATTTATTAATAAAATTATTCATTGACATACAAGTTTCTATATACATGGAAAAGTTTTCATGCAAGATTATTTTTTAATAAAATATTTAATTTCATTCCACGTTTTTATATACGATTGATATTAATATACAAATAACATTCACAATACATCTGATGGCAGATAAAAAATGGATCACCAAAATTTTATAAAAATATGTTCTCTAAAATATGCTTCGTGTGTAAATAGCATTATTCTATTTTTTTTAATTAAAAATTTTGGCGATTTAATACGCCAAGTGTGGGCAGCATTCGAGCTATATATGTTTAAAAACTTATTTAGATCATATAGATATAGATGTATTTATATATTTATATTAAATATATAAGAAATAGCTAAAAAAAATATTAGTTTATTTAGAGCCTAGTTGTGAATTTCTAAAGATAGCATTCGTTCCATTTGTATAGAACACAGTGATATAAAAATATTCTATCATTATTAATAATTCTACAGGCAGTATTTCATAAATGTAGAGATTCGTTAGGCACTTTTTGATTAAATTTTTTTCTGAAGACATATATCTCTTTGTGTTACTTTTGTATTACTGCTGTTGACTGTCAAGCAATAAAGCGGGCATTTCAACGCTTCATCTTGTCCAGAATTGGTACAACCATATCAAAACATGGTCGTTTACCCGGATCTTCATTCATACAGATGCGAATGAGCTTTGCAAGATGTGGAGAGATACCCGGTGGAATACTTACGCGTAAATCTTCCAGTGCAATCTATAAAATAAATGATCAATGTCAATTAATTTGTAAATTGACATTTAGACTGGATATAACTATACATAGTAATTTATAAGATAGAAACTGGATAAGAAAGAAGTATATATTAATCATGAATAATTACAGAAAGAGAATCTTAGTATGTATTATATTTTAGAAATATGAATGAGAATTATAGAATTTACCTTCATGCCACATTCCATGGGCGATAGATCCGCAAATGGTACTTCTCTGGTTGCCAATTCCCATAAAAGAACGGCAAAGCTCCACATATCGCTCGCTTCAAGATTGATATCTGCGGAACGCTTGCTTAAAGCTTCTGGCGACATCCACGCCGGCTCGTAAATTCGTCCGACTTCTTGGAAGGAAAACTTGGCGTCTGCCATGTTCACACGAGCTGTTAAATCCTCGTCAATCTGAAACATAACGCAGGCTAAACGATAAGTATTGTATGTATGTATATATGTGTAGACTTTAGATATTTAGATATACATTCAATTATTCTTGTAATTAATTAACTGTTACAGACTCACCATTATATGCTTACTGTTTAGATGAAATCTACATCTATTGTGCCGATCCAAACCATGAAGGAATGCCATAGCCCTGGCGATATCAAGAGCCAATCGAAGAGCACGAGCTGTGTCCACCAGGACACCAGTTCCACCATGCAGAAGTCGATGCAGACTACCTCGCGCCATATACTGTGAAACAGTTGCTAACTGTGGCGGCTGATTTACACAACCGAGAACCGGTAGAACATTGGGATGTGAAAAGATTCTCAACTTTGGAAATTCCTCGTTGAAATCTCTGCAGATGCGTGCGGTGCACTCGCGAAAGTTTAATATCTTGGCGACGATATCGTTGTTCTGCCATCGTCCTCGCCAAGTTTCACCACTGGGTGTGCTCGCGAGATGCGTATGCAGAGCAAGATCTATCATACTGATTCCTTTGTGCCGAGAAAGTGTCGCGTCCCCTGAAGAAAATAGTAGAAATATATTGTAGCTCTCTCATATAATTTCGTTTGTGTTTCAGAAATACACTTACGGCTCCTGGTTTTCAAACCTAACCAGCTCTGATCCTTAAATTGAATTTTCTTCAAATCTTGTCCATATTCTAATGCTAAATCTAAAGAAACAAGGGTTGTTCAATCATATGCAAATATGAGAGATATTAATTCGTGTTGTATAAACTTTTTACACACCATGCAATCTCTTAGCCACGACACCTCTGGCTTTATCAAGAGGAGTATCACCGTCTTTGTTGGCTATGGACACAAGAGCACCAGCTGCAACCAATTCTTCTGCAATTGCTTGATCTCCCCAAAAACAAGCATAGTGTAAGGCAGTATTTCCATGTTCATTTGTGACATTTACATCGGCACGATTTCTAAGTAACTATAAAATCAAATTATGTATTACTTATCTTACACAAATAGTTTTAACAATCTTTTACGAGTAGTATGTTAATTTTTTTTTTTTTTTTACCAACTGTACTATTTCCTTGTGTCCATGTGCTGCAGCAAGATGCAAAGGTGTATCGTCACCTCTATTGGTAGCATTAATGCGTGCACCTCTGCTGAGGAGTAGTTCTGCCAATTTTAAATGTCCTTCTTTACAACACCAGTGAAGTGGGCTGAATCCATGATCATCTCTATATATAGAGCAACATATTTAATTAAATTATTTTATAATAAACAAGAATTAAAATCCAAATTACAGTTTGTAGAGAGAAAGATAAATAGTTTCTTAAAATATCCCTTAAGAAACTATCATACAAATAAAATTTAGTTCTTCTAGTAATCTAATTTGGTATATATATAATATGAAATTTGATTCATATGCTTCATATATTCTCATCAAAAATATTCTTGCAGGATCAGGTGATTATTCAGCCAGCCCAATTATAGCATCTGAGAAAGCACAACATTCGACATCTGAGGAGTGATGAGTCTTTTCCAAAAAGGAGTTCTGGAGTAATTACCCTTGATTCATGTCGTGCTCGGTGTCATCCAGCCAGACGCGGACCTGCATAGCGTTGCCCTCGCGACACCATTGAAATATATCTTCCATTTTCGTTCTGCTTGTCAAACAATATAGTCGTAAACACAGACGATACGCTAGTTGTACGAGAGCAACGGCACTATTCGTGCTCCGAAACGGCCAGTCTCGTCATACGCTAAATATAGCCATATTCCTGATACTAACACATCAGCACGGCAGCCTTATTCTTTGTTGCATGTAACTTCAATTTACAATTATGTTAATTTTTGGAAAAAAAACTGTCAATTGAACTCTCACATTCCACAGCTGGAATTTCGAATGTCACGCGACTCCTGATCTTTACACTTGTCCAGTGCAGCGATCAATTATACAAACTGCACCCAGGTGACCATATAAGATCCGCGCACCGACGTTGACACATGAACAAACAACACAGAGAAATCAGCTTGTCTGTGGGTGGACATTGGTTACCCACGTGACTTGAGACAGCCTTGACAAAATGCGGGATAATGAAGACATTTTAATTAAAGATTCTCGAGTAAGAGTCTGCACCCTCGGCTAAAAAAAGGTGGTTATTATATATTTATTAGAAATCAATACTTAAATTTTTAATATTATTTATTAATTTCGCCATTTTTACCCGAAGCCAATCAGCAAGATCTGTCCAACCTATTCGAAGTGCACAAGGTGTAGAAGGTTCATACGACGAAGCGAGCATTGACATAATCAGGCTTATCTCTAGTCGAGACGCGCGAGGAGTCAGCAATAATGATGATACGCCCGGTTGGGGAACGTCCGGCAATGACAGTCAACAGATGATCGCGAACCAGCTGGATATATCTATGTATGTACGAGCCACACAATCAAATATGGAAAGTCTAGAACGCTGCGTGAAGTCGTTGGAGGAGAATGAGAATGACGTGCGAGAGGAAGCACGGAAAGCGTTGTTGAACATCTGTCAAAATGTCCTGAAGTCGCCGAACGATGACAAGTCACGCGAGGTACGTCTGGATGACGAGATGGTCGTTGAAAAACTCCTGCCGGCTGTCGGCGCCATGGAATGTCTGTTCGATGTCGGTTACGTCGAGGTTTGTATACATTTGATCTAGCAGATATTTTTTATATTTTCTCATTTTTCTTTCCACAAATAAATTTCGCATGCTTCACAGTATTTGAAAATATATTTAAAAAAATCCTTTCTCTAATCAATAAATTTATATATAAACAGGATGGAGAACGTATATTCTTGCCACACAACACATCTCTTTCAAGACTCCAAAGTTTGTTGAAACTATTGTCCACTGTGTCAGAGAGCAAACCTGCAAGACTTGCAACTAGAGTCATTGAGGAACAAAGTTCTGCAATGCAGAAAGAATTCTTCAAAAGAATTTCTGAATATTTTCATGGTGTTATGCATTACGAAGATCCAGATTTACAAAGAAAGGCTAGAAGTGTTATACCAATTGTGCAATTAGAAATTGCAGCCATGACAAAGATGAGAGACTTACAAAAGTAATTCAATCAAATATACATTGCTTGTAATAAAGTTTATGATTGTTAACTATTTCTTTTGCATCTGCAGGGCTCATAAATTTAACAATGCAACAGAAGCTACCTCTTCGACTCAATTTGAGGCAGAATTGATTGCTAAAGATTTATTGCTTGTTGAGCTTCTACACTGGTTTAAGAGTGATTTTTTTAAATGGGTTAACAGTCCAAAATGTTCAATATGTTCTGCTGAATGTGTATATGAAAGCGTAGTACCATCCACAAATCGTCGTTGCTCAAGGATAGAGTTGCACAAGTAAGTATTTCTTGTAAAAGATTACATACTGTACTTATTAACAATATTATCACAATATTAATTCAATCTTAGATGTAAAAAATGCAATGTAATCGTCGAGTTCCCTCGTTATTCGCATCCAGAGCTACTATTGACGCTCAGACGAGGTCGCTGTGGAGAATGGGCCAATGTGTTCACACTTTTATGTCGTTCATTGGGCTATGATGCACGATTTATATGTGATGAGACAGATCACGTTTGGACAGAGGTAATTAATGAAAAACTACCAGTGGTTTTACAAGAATTATTTTATAACTAGAATCCTCCAACTTTTTACTTTACTATTTCCAGATATGGTCGGCATCGAGCAAAAGATGGACTCACGTAGATCCATGTGAGAATGTGATAGACAAGCCATTAATGTATGAGAAGGGATGGAAAAAGAAGTTAACGTATATAATAGCCTATTCCAAGGATGAGGTGCAAGATGTCACGTGGCGTTACACGCGGAATCAAGAAGCCGTTATGAAAAGGCGAAAAACTTGTACGGAACAGAGCTTAAGGCAATTTCTGCAATCGTTGAACGATCAACGACAAAATTCGCCCAATTACAGCTGTGCGCGCAGAGAATATGTCGTCAAGCGGAATTTATTGGAGCTTGCTGATATGCTGTACATTCCAGGTTTACAAAATGAGAATTCCGACGAAACTTACGAAGGGCGAACTTCGGGTTCCGTTGCGTGGAGATTAGCACGAGGCGAAATCACGCAGGTATGGATATATTCTAAAATTTAATAAAAGAATATTACAAATAAAATTATGAAAATATATGTAAGATTAAATTATATGAAGAAGAAATATGAGAGTCATATTTTCTAAAAATGTATCAAAATAACTTTTCATTATTGTGTAATTTATATATTTGCTTTGTAGGCCAATATAGAAAAAGGTTACATTTGGGATATTTCTAAATATGGACAGACGTTTGAACTGCAGTATAATATCGTTAAAGATATGTACCATGTACACAATGATGGTACAATTTTAGAGCAAATATCTGGATGGCAAGAAGGAATAAATATTATGGATGGTGGAGTCTTTCGTAAAGAGGAGCATGATTGGAAGATGGTTTATTTAGCACGATCTCCACAAGCACAATATGGATATATTAAATGGTCTTTCAAAATTACAAATTCCGAATTGTATATAGAAATGTTTAATTTAAAAGCTAAATCAGAAGTATTTCATGGAGCTAATGTATCCTGGAAGATAGAAGCTCTTTTTAATGACGACAAAATGATTGTTATACCTATTTCCAATTGCAACAGTTTCTGTACAAAAGAAGTGCAGAAAGCTGTAAGATTAGATATAATTGTGACCTTGTCCGGTGGACAAGATCAAATTGCCTGGCAACACGCTCAATTATTTCGACAAAGTCTAGAGAGTATCGAGGAAGCATCTATGATAATTAGTATTCAATTGAAAAATTGTGGCACAAAAAAATGATTCTTGCAAGTCGTATGGTTAGTGATTGAATTTTTGTAGACTAAATTATTTAAAAATTTCTCTTTAGTTGAATTTTTACTATATAAATATAATATTGTTTCGCATATTCTCCGTAACTTTCAATTATTCCTCAATATTAGCCTTTCCTATTGCACAATATATTCCACCAGAATTTAATAGTATATTATATGAATAACGATATTTTTCCAATGTGTTTGCAGTTTTATTTTTTACAAGAGTAAATTAAAGAAGGCTTATTTTTAATTGATATAATATTTTTAATAAAAACGCGCTTAATACAGTCACATAATAATGTCAGTGTTTCCTCTAATCATTTTTTTTTTAATTTTGCACAGGGCCTGACAGATTATTCACACGTCCATGATTACAGCACTGTTTTCAAACCGCGATCATCGTTGCGTCAGTGCCTTGAAGGCGATTCCGAGTAGACGATCGTTCTGTCGAGCGCGACTTTTCGCGAAGGCCCGATTCAGCCGATTCTCCGAGTCGGTGAATTTGACAGGTCTCGGTTGAGACGCGACGAGTCCGAGAGGTTAACGGCGAACAGCAGTGCCTTTCGTGGAAAATCGATTAAATCCAGGCAGACCGTGTGGAGAGACACGACTCGGCGTTCATATCGTCGCGTGATCGTCGGTGTAGACAGAAGGGAGAAAGAGAGAGAGAGAGAGAGACGGAGACGGAGAGTGCGGTTTGGCCGATGGCGGCGGCTGTCAACTCGCGGATCTCGCTCTACGCTCGGACGATTTTTCAGAAAGTCTCGTCGGTTCGGGGCTGAAAATAGCCTCGCGTTGAAGGCGCGACGTCACGATTTATGAGACCAAGAAGAGACTAAGAAGAGCCTCTTATATGACATCGGGCAAGGAAACAATGGGGTAAGCGAGAGATCATTTCTCCGGCTAGAGAAAGAAAGAGAGAGAAAGAGAGATCAGACCGCCTTTTAAGGGTGTGTTTAACGTGCGTGTGTATATATAATACGCGTGTATTCTCGCTAATTTTCATCACGCCGCACCCGTGCGCGATATTATTGTTCCTAATAATGCCTATCACCGGTGCCGCGACGTCGTGTCCGCTCGCGAACCGGATCGCTCTCAATACGCAGGATGCGGGGAACAATTGCAACTATGTGCAACTGCGTTTCTCCGCGGCATCTGTTCCTCGCACGCGTTTTGTATCCGGACTTTTGATTGACAGTATCAATGCGGTGTATGTATTCGAGTAATGAATCATTTTTCTTTTTTTTTTTTTTATAAAATAATAGAACGAATTAAATCACGAACATTTGTCTTTCTATGCATGTGACATCTATTTTATTATTTCAATAATTAGAATGAGCCAAAAATGCGGATTTTTCAATAAGCGGGAAAGTTTTAATATTTTTAAGATTTATTTTTATATACACATGCAAAATATATATATATATACATATATATATATATATATATATATATATATATATATATATAGGCTCTATTTTTGTAATATAAATTTATAAATAATGTATTTTTTGTTCCATGTATTTATACATTTATTTAAAATCGAGCAATTAATATTCAATCTTCTTTATTTGATTATTTAGAAAAATTTATTTTTATTATTATTATATATTTTTGAAAATAATTCCTTTTTCAATAATATGATATATTGATAAAAATAAATTTAAAATTTTATTTTATTTATCATTAATTTTAAATATAAATACAAGTACTGCTTTGTAAAAAATCTTATTGTATATATGCATTACTTCATAATTTTATATTTCAATTCTATACATCTTTGAATATGCATTTGCTTTAATGAGGTCAGATAAAAATAGACACTTTGTACCATATATGTACAGATTACGCATATATATGTGTACATACTCTTATTATTGAAATTAATTACAGTGAACAACCAATCTTTACGTGCAAAGCGCACGTATTTCACATTGACCCCAAGACAAAACGATCTTGGGTACCTGCATCATCAGCAGCAATATCAGTATCATTCTTTTATGATTCCACCAGAAGTCTGTACAGAATAATATCAGTTGAAGGAACAAAGGTGCGATTAGGAATGGTATTCATAAGCATAGAAAACGAAACAGACTTGTATCTATCATATTCTCATTTTCTTTTCAGGCTGTCATAAATAGCACAATTACGCCAAATATGACTTTCACAAAAACATCACAGAAATTTGGCCAGTGGTCGGATGTCAGGGCGAATACTGTATACGGTTTAGGTTTTGCATCTGAGGCTGAGTTAGGAAAGGTTTGTGTTTACTTTTTTCATTACAATCTACAAAACAAAAATTTTTACGTATCATACTCAAAAAGAATATTTTTCATTTATAGTTTATCGAGAAATTTCACGAGGTGAAAGAAGCCACCAAACTAGCTAGCGCCAAGTTACAGTCAAACAGCTCTTCGGTCACACCAGCTACCAGTGCGAATGTTAGCCCAATTACGTCTCGATCGGGTATGCCGTCGTCGGAACAAGATCTCATTGATCCACCAAACTCTTCGATGATTAACTCCAACGTGTCGGCATCGAACAATCCGAACCCGAATGCCAATATGATAACCGCTCAGAACAGTGTATGTTCGGTAAGCAGCAGTCCTTTACCTGGTAGTTGTCAGAATAAAGTGGACGATGAATTGAAAAACACAGTCCATTCAAGATCACAGAGTGTTTCTCAGCAGAGTACAGAAAGTCCGCAGCATCAAGGGAAATCGGCGCAACTGAGCTCTACACAAGGTGGACAGTCAGCTGAGGTGCAGCTCAAGTACGAGAACGATAGGCTGAAACTTGCTCTAGCTCAGAGTTCTGCTAATGCAAAGAAATGGGAGGTACGATCGAAAAGATTGTTTATGAAAAATATAAATGAGAATGATGTAGGAGCAATAAAATAATGCAATTAATGTTTTATTATAGATTGAACTGACTACCCTCAAAACCAATAATGCAAGATTAACAAGTGCGTTACAAGAGTCAACAGCTAATGTCGACGAATGGAAGAGACAGCTGCAATTGTATAAAGACGAAAATGCCAAAATAAAAGCTAAATACGCCGATTTGGAAGCTGGAAAAATCGCGGAGGGAAACAGTGAAGCCTTAAGATTGAGAGTCGAAGCATTGGAAAGTGAGCTGAGAACGCGAAATGAAGAAATCAAAGTTCTCACTATGGCCACTAAGAGTAAAGATTTTGTGGTATGTATACAAAATTTTCTTAATACTCCTAGTATATATATGTATATATATGTATATCAAGATTAGGTTAATTCGTCAAGTATTTGATTAACAAATATCTGATTTGTATTTACAAGGCTCTACAGAAGGAGAATGCAGAACTTCGCGAAATGTTGAATGTAGTTCATGAACAATTAGAACTTGCATTGAGTGCAAATAAGGTTCAAAAACAAAATTTGGATACATTAAATGCCAGATTAGCTGGTTACATACAAGATTTGGTAACTGTACATCGAGAAATCACAAATACATTGCAAACTTAAGTTTGCATCATTAGGGAAACCTAAGAATGCCTTTCTTAGGTCTTTTGTATCTACTGTAAGCACGGTGTACGAATGGATGATATAGAGTAATAACAAAGGGAGAAGTTCCAAAAAAATCGAACGCAGTTTAATCGAGCAGAAAAATTCTAGAATACTGAGATAGTCGTCTCTCGAAAATAGTACACTACAGAAGAGATTGCTCCCCGAGCATGTATTTATATTGATCTGTTTAGCATTTCTCTTTAGAAATAAGTTTCGTGCCATAATCGTGCTATTGTTACACAGAATAGGACACTTAACTTTACCACCTGCTTTTCTCCTTCTGACATTTTATGCATTTATGCTTCAAAAATGCTCTGTATGGATATACAGTCTTATAAATTCGATATGGATTATAGTTATAAATTCATATTTATGATTATTTTCGAAAAGAAAAATGATAAGAACAATTGATGAACAAATTAGAACAATAAGTTTTAAATTACAAATTTTTCATTAAGTTAAAATTATAAGCTCTGCTTATCTTTCCAGAACTGCCTAATGCTTATCTGGATATTATTTTCTTGAAATTTACATTGTCTATTTTTATTTTTTATCCACAATTTTTGAGACAGTAACATTTATAATTTTATAAGAGTTATTATTACTCTCTACAGACTCATTTTAAATGTAATAATTTTAACAATTATTACTGTAAACATAAAATCATGTACATTAAATTAGCAAAATTGATATTTCAAAACTTAAGATACAAGACTTAAGATAATTTTGAAAGTTTTATTTTCTCTGTTCATATCTTTTACTTATTAATTTATACATATATTCTATTCTAATATTATATCAAAATAACTTTTACATATAGGATGTTTCGTAAAATATGCGAATATCATTAATAGAGATATCTCACGAATTCAAAAGTGATTTTTTAGTAGAAATCCGAATGGGAATTTAGTAATTTAAGGAGTACAGAGTCAATCAGCATGTCGCATTGACCAGATACTGATAGATACGGGTAATACGTAAGAGACAAAAGGATACATTTGCAAACATTGGGACATATTTAAAAATTCAAATTTTCTATATGACAATAGAAAAGTTTTTCTTTTGGTGTTTTTCGATCAGAACATTGATTCTATGTAAGAAATACAACTCAAGGACTTTCTATTGTGATGTATGATACTTTCAAATTTTTCAAACTCTTATTCCAGTGCTCAAATGTACCTACGTTTCTCTACGGATAATACAGGGTGTCTAAAAAATCTACGGTCTTATTTATATTAAGATGGTCAGGCAAATGTGAAACAAGTTTGTATAAACCTATTCCGAAATTATTTTATATTAATGAGTTACAAAAGATTGGGGATCATCATTTGCTAAGAACTTTTTACTAACTTTTAATCGCTTTCACAATTTTTTAAACAAGTCAGAAACAAGTGTATGTGCAAATTATTGTTTATCTTTTCACATTTTTTAAAAATATAAACTCGCAATTATTTTTACGTAAATTAGTGAGCAAATAGAGTGAGAGAGTGCTTGTATATATAAATAGAAAAAATATGGACAATAAGAAAAAAATCACTTTCAAGCAATTTATATATAGGAGAGAGAAGAAATGTTATATTGATACATTTTTTATATTTCTTTTATCTGCAGTTATTTTTCTAATCTGTGCTTTAGAGATTAAATTTAATATTCTATAATAATATAATATAAAATGATACTTTTATTTTACTTTTTCACTTTTCTACTACAATTTGAATTTTAGAATAATTTTAGATATAAGACGATAATGTGAGACAAATACGAAATTTTTGGCAATTTTTAGAAAATGTTTGCATAGCGTAGATTAACTAATTGAACAAGAATGTCTTCTCTGGAATGTTATTTAAGAATCATTGCTTCGCATATCCATAAAATCATCTTTGAATGTTATTGTGCAAAATGTTTTCTTTCTTCATGCTAATTATGTGTGTGGTAATACATCAATGATAATATACACTACACATTGATATATGAAATGGCATGCCTGTGATAGAATTTTAATCATATTATAAATTACATTTTTTATTATTTTTGCTCTTGTGTGGACTAAATATTCATTTTTCTCATGAATCCACCTAATCATAACATACAAAATTCAGATAAGTGGATATTTTATGGTAAAATTATTTATAATCTGTTTTTTCTCTATAACACATCAATATCTGTGTAAGCATACTTTTATGAAACATTCTATATATAGCTTTTTCTATAATGTTGGTGGAAGATTTCAAATGGTAAAGTTAGGTGTCTCACATCTGTAAAATTCTATAAAAAAGCACATTTATTGTTGAATTTGCCGAATATGTGAGAATCATTCTTATGTATAAAATATAGTGAAAAAACGGCGACTGTCCCGAGAGTGCGTGTTTGTGAGAGAAATGTTTTCGTAAAAGCGTTCCTGCAATTCCATCTAAATAAGAAGGCAAGAAAGAAAATGATATTCTTCCAATAAAGATTCTCGATATCACAGAACGACACAAATATAATATCCGCTTCTTTACAACACATTATCTAATGTTGAAGTATCATCCGCCTCTCACAACTACTGCGTTTCAGCTAACATATGATATATAGAAAATAGCCTCGAGCATCACACGCACTTCCTCTCAATTGCAAATTTTTTGGCTTAAATGGAAGAGATATTAAAGAGATCAGAGATGAAAGAAAATGCAGTGAATCTGAAACACCTTGTACATACATACGTTAATTTCAGTTTCTTGAATCCTGCAGTACACTTGTGTGCGGCATGCCATTGTAAGATTTATTATCTATGCTTGCTTATTAATGATTATCATTAATTTTATATTATCGGAAACATTTGATGTTAGATTAATAATGTATTTATTTTAAGGTTCCTGGCTCCTCGCTAACCATGTTGAAATTGTGACAAAATATCTTTTTATTTAAAAATGGCATCTAAGAATTTTCAGTGTATGCTTTTTCGCCTCTGACGTTACAATCCAACATGATCGCGGCGAGGATAGGAGTCCTAAAGACGTTTGTAGTGCAATTTACATCAAATCTGAAACTGTACACAGTATGACAGTGCTGGAGGGTTTAAAGCAATGTTATATTTACCAATGGAACTATATAATCTTGTTATTAGAGAATTTATTTATATTTAAGGAACACTATATATATTTAGTTTTTATTTTGTGTATTAAAAATACTCTTTATAGGTATTATTTTATCTTTTTTTACACACTGTATGAAAATTGTTATTATATATGTAGACTTCGTATTTAATATGTATATCCATCATGTTTTTTTTTAAATTAGAACAGTTGTTATTCAACATCGATTTTCGAGTTGATCTACATGCAGATAATTAACGTTTTATGTACATCATACATATACTATACAACGTTATAAGAATACTTTTATTTATCATGTGTATTGAAATTAAGAATTGTTGCATGGATCATAACGCGCGCATTTACAATTAAGTGATTAGTATCGAATCTATCGGAAATTACATAATAATTGTAAAAATTATGTATAATAATTTTAAGACGCGATTTTATAATCTTTTTTTGCAAACCGCATTTTTATACAAAAATTTATATTGAATGCAATGTGTTTTTTTGTTACATTTTTTGATTGTATAAATATTTAGAGAATGTATTATTATTATTATTATTATTATTGTGGAAAGCATTACTATTATCATTGCTATTGTGCTGCTACTTTTACTATTGCGATCATTGCTGCTATTATTAAGTCACTCTCTTACTGTCGCTCACACAAAAATATCTCTCTTCTCTCTCTCTCTCTCTCTCTCTACATCTATTATTAATATCTTTGTTGTATCATTATTTAAAATTACTATGAGTGACATTGTCGCGTGTTAGAAATATTTTTACCAGTGTTACAAATACATTGCATTAATTGTGTGTGCGCTTGCAAAAATGTTTAATAGTCAAATATATAAAACATATCAAGAATGTCATGGTTAGCATAATATGCAATTTCTTGAATTTATTTTTTATTTTACTTCTTGAACTTAGGCACACTCAAGTAACAAATCATAGTTATCCCATGAATATAATTATCAAAAAATCTATACATTTAATATTATTAGTAAAGTTTAGTAAAAAGACCCTAATTATATAACGAAATTAATTCGATTACATTTATATTGTGTTTTTGCATATGTAATTTCTCTTTATCATCAGTGATTTATATTGAGATCTGGGATGTCAGATATGTACTGTATAGAATCGTTATCAATAGACGGCTTTGAGAGACTATATAAGGTAGTTCGTTATTGATAAAGCAATCAGAAGATTCAATTAAAAAAAATCAAATTTAAACAAAATTATAAAATTAATAATTTCTCTGTCTCAAGTTCGCATAGTTTATTAATATCAAAAAATACTAAAAATGTGGATTATCCATTTAAGAAAATATAGACTGTCTAGACTTCATATAGCTTATTTAAAAATTTTAATCATTTTTTCGGAAATAAACTTAAATTTTTTAAATTGTACTTTAATTCTTTAGTTAAAATATAAAAGCGCTAATATTTTTCTTAATTATAAGCCACTAGATTTTTTTAATATTAAGAAATTAAAGTCATGAGCTTTCTACAATATTTTTGCTACGGAAAGATCGTCTTCAAATTGCTCGGTTGTTATGATCAAGATTGCGCGTACATATTGCGGAACACCTTATATAGTCAAAAGAGATAATGCTAAGTGAGATATGACGTATGTATGATTTGAAGATGTGTAACGTGGTTCCTTTGCTACGCACAATTTAGAATCATTAACGAGACTCATTTTACATTTGAAAAAACTTTTCAGTACATAACATGCGTTGATCTTTTATAAATTATTTTACAATATGTTGACAATATACATTTTACTGTTAATACAAACTATGTATTATATTTTGCAAAATGTAAGAAATTCATATTATCAAGATATTATTCACGGTTACGAATGATTATAACATTCAGCTCGCATGTTCTTGACTGTACTATAATTGTATAGTGCAGATGTGTAAGAGAACGATTCTCTCAAAGTGGTAAAGGTGATAAAGAAAAAAGAGAACCTAGACAAATTTTTAGTAGATAATTAGATAAGACAAGTGCAAAATGTGCTAGAGAATGTGCACTTTTTATCGTACTGACAGTATATATATATATATATATAAATATATGTATGTATTGAAAAAAAATGTTGAGGAGGGATTTTCAATTTGAGGAATTGGAAACGAAAGCCTCGCTTGCCATATGTAATCTTAATAAAACATTTTCAGACGGCTCCACATCGAATTTTTCTTCTATTATAAGCTCTACTAATCCTAAATATATAAGAATTTATTATTGATTATCTACATTAAAAATTATCAAAATTTATTACACCGATAGATCTTATCAAGAATATCATTTTATCAATATAATTTTCTTCCAATGCATTTGGTCCATCAATGCATTGTGAAAAAAAATGTTTTTGAAAAAATTTTAAATACTTTTATAAATAACAATCACATATAATATCGAATTGAATTTATCGAATTCTTTTTGAATGCGTCATCGAATTTTTACAATGTGAATGAATAAATTTTCTGAATAGGCATGCATGTTATGCAAGTGACATCATACATGTATATAAGGTGTACACATAGGTACAGAAAAGTGACGTCTCTATTGAATTTAATGATTTTGGAAGCTCAACAAAATTTATATTTGTAAAAATATATTAGATATTTTGATAAGATCAAATTTGTTCATCTTTAGTTCGATTTCTGTATGGTTTATGCGAAATATCTCTAAATAATGACTTTCGAGACACTGGATGTGCTAATTCCGTCACGCATTCTACGTGTTCAAGAGCGTCACGATCTGTTCTCATTCAATCAAGGATTATGAATCATATATACGCTCTTCGTGAGTAATATATTAATTATTGAGGAAATACGTAATAGAAGTTTTTTTTCAATTTTCGAATTTATTATTAAAATTTATACGTATGCAAAACGTATTTGATGTGCGAATTTTGGTAGTTCCTAAAAATTATTGTCATTGTATCCTATTGATCTCATCGACGGCGTCAGTCGGGCGGGCAATGGTTCACTCACTATCTCCTTAGCTCACTACAGGATATTCCGTTCTCCACGTCATTATTCGGCGCTACGTCGTCAGCCCCACCAATGTTTCTCTCTCTCTTTCCCTCAACATTGTCCTTAATATCGCCGCTGGCAGAACAGTTTCCACCCAGTTAGCAAAGTATTCATACGCAACGCAACGAAGAATCATTCTGAAAGCAACCGGCATTCTCTATAAATTGTCAGTGGAATTAATATATATATTAACGTAAGTAAAAATATTAAGTATTAAAATTATTTTTATAATCGATGTAATTAGCTGACATATTGCGCAATTTAGTTAAATTAGTAGATTTATATATATATATATAATGTAAGATTGTGTTTTCAAAAAAATATTATTTTTATATATGCAGGTCATTAAGATAGATTAGATTAAAAGTATCAAAGTTATTATAAATGTCATTAATGTATATAATCTTCCATTTAATGACTAGCTTTATTATATCAATTTATATGTGAAAGTAAAGTATGAAAAACAACTTTCATTATTTGAATAATTCAGCTGTATCAGCATTAATTAAAAATATATTATGCTGTATATATTTGTTTGACTCGATAATCTTGGACAGTCGAATTCTAAATGTGGTGAAAACAATCACTGATTTTTATTACACAATCTTTAGAGATTAATAGCTTGCTCGGCTACATATAAACAGAATATTTTTCTTTCACAATCAATTTTGTAATTTAATAATCTAAAAAGATTAATGTCAGAAAATTGTAGACAAAATTGAGAATTTATATTAATAGAAAGAATATATATTTATTCTATAAAGCACAAATCTTAATTCAAAATTCATCGTGTTAATTAACATTTCCTTTAGCGATCTAATATTTTTTACTAAACCTTTACCTTTAGTCGCACTTTTTTTTTGAAAACATTTGCATATTGTAATTATTATTATGGTGTCTGAGAAAAAGAATAGATCATTAAAATCGTATGTGAATCATTATCTGCTTAACAGGAATTTACACAATAGAGATAAGTTATGTTATGTCATACTTCCGTCATCGTAAGCAATTACATTTAATAATTATTTTGCACATTATACTTTGTTTTGTTCTTATTAAAGACTCATCATGATTCACCGTTTCGTATTAAAAAAATCATTCTTCAAAGACATAAGTCAAACAATCGGTATCGATTTTATGTTTCTTATAATAAATGTATTCTAATAGCCTTGATGGCGCCGTATTTTCTTGGTACCTGGTATTTTCTTGGTAAATAATAGCTTTGACGAGGGCTGTTTTCGAAAGCATTTTTAACGCTTTCAACAAAAAAAAAACTTGCGCGTTTTTTTCTCCGAAAAAATAATTGAAAATGATATTGTTAAAGTGCGGTAATGTTGTCTCACATTTAAAAACCAATTTAGAACATTTACAAGCTAAAATAGATATTAATTTTATCATCTATTTTGCATTATGTCATTGAAAATTCGGCAAAAAAATACCGGTTTGTCGATGTTTCCGTTGTCTTCATCGTAAATAGATATAAAGCAAGTATTGCCCCACCAACAAATTCCTTTCCTCTTCTCTCCCGTACTTCTTCCCGTCAACGGAGAATGCGTTGCAGGCCGTTAGTTGGCCACCAACTACCAGAATCGACACCGTTTTCCGGAAGGAGCGTATCTCGTAGCCGTCAAAAAAGGTAAAGCAAGCCACACCCGAAGTGTCACTTCGCCGATCTGATCGATATAATCTTGCGGCATCTTGTGAAATGATATTCCTTCATCATATCATCATCATCATCGTCATCTCCTAAATCATAAAGCGAACATACAATCATCTCGACAATCGTTCAGCAATAAGCAAATGGATGTAGCGCGTTATACGATGAGATCATCGTCTCAGTAATGTGACGTGTATCTGAAACGAGTCAAGGACAAATTGCCGCATCGTATGCTTTGTATACGTTAATCATGACAGATGAGAATTATCATCTCTTAAGTTACTTTTAATATAATTTTATAATTACAATTTATATTTAAATTAAAAATACTGTAACTTATGATGTATTAGTTGAATTGTAATATATATTATTTAAAATTTTTGAAAGATATCAGATTAATGCGCTTTAATATTGTTGAATAATTAAATAATATAATATTAAAAAATTAGATATAATATTGTAATAGAAAATAATATAAAAAATGTTTTCAGATAATCAGCAAAGATGGCAGCAAGTCAATATTATCACGTACAGGTAATTTATGTTAATGTCTAGCGAGATTTAAATCTCGCAATAGTGAGCGCAACATTATGATTCATCTCGTTTTAATTTAATCATCTCGCGTCGGTATGAGTGGACGATTTCTGCATAAACTTTTGTAATATTTCTAAAATGCTTCAAGAACTTTACGGATTTCTTTGCAATTATTTTAGAAACTACTTCCTTTCTTACATTAACAAAAATACGAAACGTGAATAAGTTTAAGAGTTATAATTGATTGTGACAAAAAAATTCTTGGCAAATAAAGTTTTAGATGTATAAAGTTTAATTCTGTGTTTAAGTTCTCTTACATATTTGCTACTTTAACATATAATATATTATTTCGAAGTTTAATTATACATCAATATAGAAAAGTATTATAGAAAGATCGAATCCGATCGAATCGTTAAGGAAAAATCAAAATTACGTATAAATCTTGGTATGTGAATGAATCACCCATCAATATGTTAATGTTAAAACAACTGCGTTATTTGTTTCTTATTTTAAAATTAACGTAAACGTAATATTTAAAAAACAATAAATTTGAAAAAATATATTTTCCTCTATTTTACACAACGCTTGATAAAGTAAATTGTTTTTCCAATTAAATATGTTGACTAACATTAATAGAATCAGAGTTTTATAGTATAAGCTCAAATAACTTATAAATTACTTTTTAATCCTATATTCATTATATGAAACAATTCATCTTGAATAGTTAATATTTAAATTTAAAATAAAACTCCAATATTTTTACTAATAAATTACCAGCAATTATTTTAAAATTATTAATAATTACCCTTTTTCAATTAATTAATTATAAATATTTCCAGTGTACGCCCTGCGTGTATCCGGCCGATCCCTTCGATGCCGAGGCAGATGCCAGCCTCCTGCGCACCGCCATGAAGGGTTTCGGAACTGACGAACAGGCCATCATCGACGTTCTAGCTCATCGGGGCATCGTACAACGACTGGAGATCGCCGATAAATTCAAAACAATGTACGGCAAGGATCTCGTCTCGGAGCTGAAGTCTGAGTTGTCCGGAAACTTCGAAACGGTTATCTGCGCTTTAATGACGCCTCTTCCTGAACTGTATGCCAAGGAATTGCACAAAGCTCTTTCTGGTATAGGCACTGATGAGGGTGCACTTATCGAGGTTCTTGCGTCTCTGAGCAATTATGGCATCAAGACAATATCGGCCGTTTATAAGGATTGTAAGTAATGAGTGTGAGGTAGTAAGTAAATCGCAAGTTCCTATACAGAACAGTTTTCCAGAGTCTCGTTATCCCTTTATTTAACATCGGTTTTTGTACGTGAAGTAGAAATCTCATCTAAATAAAATTGAAAATGCGATTCTTATTTCGGATAATCCAGAACATATTGTATTTCTTTCTATTTTATAAGTTCTTACACACATAAATATATATATGTATTCAATTTTTATTTACCTAGTGTATGACACAGAGTTAGAAGATGATCTCAAGGGCGATACTTCCGGTCATTTCAAGAGGCTTTTGGTTTCGTTGTCTTGTGTAAGTGATCATTAAAATTATACTGCACATTCCGATCCAGTTTGTTAGTGTCTTTCTATATCCTCTTAATTAACAATCGCAGGCTAGTAGAAACGAGAATACCGACGTCGATGAGCAGGCCGCACTTGAGGATGCTGAAAAACTTGTCGCCGCAGGTGAAGGACAATGGGGTACCGATGAAAGTACCTTCAATGCAATCCTCATCACCAAGAGTTATCCGCAATTGCGGAGGATTTTCAAGGAATATGAACGTATCGCCGGACACAGTTTGGAGAAAGCTATTAAGCGAGAATTTTCCGGTTCTCTTGAGGACGGCTACTTAGCTGTGGGTAAGAAATGATCAAGTTAGCTGTGCAGATATAAGAATTTTTAATTCGCTATTATTCGCACCTCTTTCTTTTTATTAATTTATTCTCTCGAATATTTTACTCCTCTTAAATGTAATTCTTCGTCTACTTTTGTTTCTTTTTAATTATATAAACGAGTTTCTTTTTTCAGTGAAATGTGCTCGCGACAAGACTGCTTATTTTGCGGAAAGATTGTACAAAGCTATGCGCGGATGCGGCACTACCGATTCAACATTAATACGCATAATTGTAACGCGATCGGAAATCGATCTGGGTGACATTAAGGAGACTTATGAGAGACTTTACGGGAAATCTCTTGCAGAAGCTATCGACGTAAGTGAGATATACTATCATTTGCAACCGTAATAATTTTATTTATTCTGAAAATAGCTGTATTATTTGCTATTTTTCCGTCTTGTTTCTATGAATTATAAATTAAATGAATTTTGATAAAAAAATTAAAAGACAATCTATGTAAAAATAAAAATATAAATAATTCATAGAATGTACAGTTCAAATGTCTTTTTAATAGATTCTTTAATTGAAAATTAATCTTTTATTTTGTTCAGTTGAAACTGAACTTTATTTTTTCAGCTCTTTAGTTCTACTGCCTTTTTATATATGTATATTTATTCGCTTAACACAGTAATGCTTTTTATCTCTATATAGCCAAAATCTATTAAGTTACGCATTTCTATCATAATTCCATTGTTTCTATGTACGATGCATTTCTTAACTCGCGGTTAATAAACATGCGATTACAGTCGCTGAACTAAACAACAATAATAAATAATAATAAATAATCTATTAACTTACGTATACGCGCTGTATCTCAACATTGCATATAACTTTCCATAAATTTCAGGACGACTGTTCAGGCGACTACAAGAGACTCTTGCTTGCTCTTCTTGGATGAAAATATTTTAATTGTACACAACAGTCCCTTTTATCGAAAAATCTACTTCAATGTCGCGGAGATTATACGTGTCGTATTATGTTTCTTTATAGAATTATAGAAAGTTAATTTGGTTGATTTAGTTTATATTTTTCTGACCGTTTGTAGTGTGAATATAATGTTATTCGTGCTATTTATATTATATTTTGCGTTTGATTAAATAATAAAACGTGTGTAAAAATGTATTATAAAATAACAAGAAAAACATGTACACAATTGGGACATTTTTGTACATGCGTTTCTGTAAAGATTGAAAATTAAAAATCGACCAATTGATTGGTACTATATACTAGAACAAGTAAATTGTTAATCGAAATGAAAATTTGCCCCTCATTGTACTAATACCATTAATTATCGTCCATCTCTGACTGCATGCATGCCTGTATCAATTAAATAATATGCATTAAATACATGAATGTCTACATTTTCCTCGAATTAATGTTAGCTTTAATTTTCCCACATTTTTTTTGCATTTACAGAATGACTGCAGCGATGACTTTAAGCAGGTTCTGATCGCGCTATTGAATTAACGAGAGCTCGAGAAGAGTTATTTCTATTATTAAAAGCATTATCAGACATTGCGCTCGTTAACATAAGTGTCAATAATTTAAAAAGCACGCAAATGTAACATATATATTTATTTGCAATTAATGTATACGTTCGCAAATAAACTCATTTCACTAATAACACGAGAGAATATTTTTGTTTTCTTTTCCAGAACGATTGCGCTGCTGAACGGAAAAAACTATTAATAGCAATGTTGAATTAAGAATAGTTATAACTACAAAGCAGAGAGATGAAAATAGTATTTCGAATAAGTATATATAAAAATATAAAATGTACAAAACGTATGTGGTACATAATAATCGTTCTATATATTGTATAATAAATTTATAAAATTACAAAAAAGTTTTACAAAAAAGTTTTACAAAAAAATAAACCTATTGAAAAGATACTAACACTACTTTAAACAAGTATTTTTAGAGTAATAATTAAAACTATATTATCTTATTTCTTTAAACTTAAACAAAAGCTAATCATAATGTATGACACAAAAATGAAAAAAATAGTATTGTGTGTATACAATATATAAAATATATGTAATATAAATATCATTTTAACAATTTATATAAATTGCTTAAAGTATTTACATTTATAGTATATATGTATACACACACATCATAATAAGAATTTATTCTTTTTTTTAAGAATGACAAATTAATAAATGTCATTAGATATTATTTCTATTATAGACTTTTTCTTAAGCTTACTGTCAATACAACCTAGCTTTATTGTAGAGAGTTTAAGTTTCATAACTTTTCCTAAAACCTCAAAACATGCATGAAATTTATCAGAAGTAACATCTATATCATAAATATGCAAGCAAATTTCTAATTCAACTGCATCCACAATATCTTCTCCTACACAGATAGGTGGTGGATTTCTAGCTAAAAATATACATTTATATTGAAATATAATAATAAAATTTTATATTTTTTTTACCTGTATGTAATTGAATATTACCTGAAACTGTCTCATTAATAATTGCAAAATTGTTGTACGTTACTGTGATTGAAATCCCATAATCGTGCTCTAAATAACTTGCATTTACACATACTATATATGAAAATAAAATTTCAATAGAATGCAACACCTATATTAAACAACTAAAATATTTTGCATAATTTACAAATAATAACTCACATGTTCCATTTATAAAGACTGCATCCAATTCTATATATTGACAGCATCCACAATCATATTTGATACATTCACAGCCATTATTATATGTTTTTATACTTTTTGCATGTTCAATAGATTCACCTATAAAAAAATAAAAGTTCTAAAATAAAAAAAACTTTGAAAAAATCTTCACTAAATGGTTTAATTTCTTTTATTTTTTATGGATTAAATAAAATATTGTACACGAATTTTTTAGTTACATGAGCATAGATATATTAAATATATAGATATAATCTTATTTTGATAAAAATAAATGCTACTATAAAAATACTTTACAAAACGTTATATATTCATATTATTAACTGTATATGTGTTATGTATTATAAATATATATATTTAATGCATACCATGTATATCGGTGTACATTTCGGAATCTGCCGGTCGTGTTATCACACTTTGACCCATCACCTCTGTAACTTCTATATAAAGGAATAATGTTAAGATGATGCTAATATGCATAATATTGATGCAATATAATTGCTTCATATTTTCGTTTTATTGTCGTAATATTTGACGATAATTATAAAATTGCTTCTCAAATATCTTCTGTTAGCACTGTACACTGTACACTTTTCTCTATGCTTTGATTGATCTTATTCCATTTTATATTCGCTAAATATAAAACAAAGAGATTCTCTAAAGTTTTTTCGGGAATCCCCTATATAAGAATGAGATTTGTTCTTTGTTTTGTGGCTGAATTTGCGCTTTTTCCTTTCTCTTCTTCTCCTATTTCTTCACATCATCTCTGTTATATTTCATTTTAGTGCAGCTAGTGCAGGAAGTTCAGCAACAAAGAACATATAATTTCATTTGTCGCGTGAAGTTCGTTGAATGTTTTCATTGGTTGTGTGCTATTGGAAGAATTGCTAGGAACTTTCCTAGAGATTTTTAACAGCCAATTATATTCGACAAACTTTTTGTCGCGTGCGAATTGAAGATTGAAAACAGTGACTTTAGAAAAGAAGCTAAAAATTATTTAATTTGAATTGGACAAATTTTAATCTTTATGAGAGAATTGTTTTTTAACACAACTATCACGAGTGATTTGTTTTTCAATAATTATCTCTATATTATAGAGTTATATTATAAGCTAGTTTATTGCGGATGTCGGGTGTTAAAATCCATCTTCATGTCAAAATATGCAGCTGTAAATAAACGGTGATTAAACTCTTGCAAGTTCACAAATAATTGAAAAGCATTGACGTTATAACTGATAAATATTATAAATATTTAAATATATATATATTTATATACATTAATATAGACTGCAATTTACAACTGTATATATAATTCTGTGACGCAATATTTAAATCTAATATATAAGTTATATTTATTTCAATGTTCTTATATATAAGATAATTAGACATATTAGTATATTTTTATAAAATTGAAGTTTTTAGTTTCAAAATTTATATTTTTATCTTATTATATATCATTTATTAAAAGTAAAAGGTTATAAAAAAAATATTTATATGGATATGAAATTGTTTTACACAAAAAGAATTTTAATTAAATTTTTATATATTAATATATTGTAATTATACATATATATAATTCTAGAAAATTAAAGAATGACTTTTAAATTTATTTCTGTAATTCAAAAGTGATATATATATATATATATATATATATATATTCTACTTCGTAGAGAGTGTATTTTTATTAATGAAGAAATATTAATTCTAATTAAAAAAAAGGTTTTCTCACCATTAAAATAAAACTTACGATTAAAGAATAAAATAGCATAACGTCAAATATTATTTAATCAAAAATTATTTCGATAAAATTGTTCAAAGTATACAAGAAGAGAGAGAATAAAAAGGGAATTAGGAAACTTTCGATTTTTATACTTCCGACAAAAGAAAATCTCGAGTTTATTTACCTTCGCACCAGTGATAAAAATAATTTGCTCGCAAAATAATTGGTAAAAAGTGAAGGAAAGAAAAAAAAATAAAGACGAAAGATATAGAGATGAGTGTGACAGGAGAAAAACGCACGTGCGGGAAGAGAGGAAGGAGAAACCGACGTGCGACAGAGAAGGCAAGTCCAGTAAATACGCGATAATCGTCGTAATCGTCCGTGATCGAGGCACACGCGATCCGTCCAGCGTCCAGCCAGCACTCGGCACTCACTCACATACGCGGGATATAGAAGTTCACGTATTCCATCCATTCCATGAGATGACGAGATTACGAGGGGGCGGAGGGCGGAAAGAGAGCGAGTCGCCTCGCGAGCGACACGACACAACACGAGCATCGCGACTGCCATCTTGATCGTGACGCGCAACTCAGAGGTCGTGGGCTCCACCAGTGACGAAGCAACTGGAGTTTTGACGTGGCTGCTACGTACCTGCCCGACTGCCCACTCCGATTGCAGCAAACTTGGTGACGAGAAATACGTAACTGGTAAGTACCCCAGCTGGAGAATAATAACAATCGGGCATGGACCAGCGCGCACGGGCTCGAGGTTCGCGCGCGACGAAACCGTACGTAGACCCGCGCCTGGTCCGGCCAAGCGTTTCTGCTTTTACTCCCGTACGCGTCCGCGATCCGCGTTTACGTCTGCTGCGCGCGGAGATACCGTGAAATATGGCGCCCCGTGGAGAAACGCGCACGTATTTCTCGTCAAGAGGCTGAACGGAGGGGTTACGCCAGCGACTCTTTCGATCAGCGATCCGTCCCCGTGCGGATCGTCGCAGAGAATTCGCGCCTCCCGGGGATTAGACGTGCGGAGGAGGATTCATTTTTCTTCCGCGTTTTTTCCCCCGTCCGTCATTCCGCGATTCGTCATTTCCATCTCGCTACTCGGAGCGGAGCGCCGATCCAGTCGAATGTGTTTATTGTTCTCTCGCCCGTATTTTATTTTTAGATCCGCTTATGTAAATGACGCAGTAAGCATCGTCGGGAACTCGCCGTTGGCGGCAAATTCGAATTCGCGTTTGGTTTCTATTTATTTTCCTGACGACCCTCGCGAAGATTCGACAACAAATATGCGTACGGATTAATTTAGAACAATGTCACATTAAGTTTGCCAACTAACAAATTCTCTATTATATCAGAAATATATATAAATTATATAAATGTTATATATTTGTGTGTATATACTTATATAAAATTTTATGTTCTATATTAATACACATATTTTCAACACATGTGGATTTCTTTATAACTTTACGTGTCACAGATGTGTATACTAGTACTGAATTTTTTACTCATATTGCAGAGCTCGCGAGGTAGCCGGGCTATGGAAAGTATGGTCGAGGAAAATGGATCAGCTGTCGATCCGTTATCCACGGGTTCCCAGAGCGGTGATGCTGCCCCAGCGATTGCAACTTCGGTACAATCTCTCGATAGAACGCATCAGCAGCAAACTCACCACCTGGTAGCTTCTACCAGCATTGTGCAACTGACACTACCTTCGTCAGGAACAACACAGGTATACAGGAGACTCTCCTGTGTATCTATGTCCAATAATTTGCTTTCTTTCTATTATGAAGCATGCATACGTCATTTATTTTGTCCCTTGATTTTGATTATTTCTATAACATAAGTACCATTAGGTATTTGATCTTGCATAATGCTGGTTGTATCTTAGAAGATTACAAAAGAATTATTCCTTAAGACTTTTTATTCTTAGATTGTAAGATATTGTAGGGAATAGTTTTTATGAATGTAACATTCTAAAAGATATACATTATCCATATATGTTTGAAGTTTTAAATATTGCAATTATTTTTATATTATACAACAAATGACATGTGTACATTATTCCTTTTTATTATAGCCAATTTGTACATATACATGTTTAAGGAATAATGATCATGTGTATCTATATGTGTATCTAGAAGTATAGTTTTAATGATGTAGCTCAATGTAACCTTTTGTAATACTTGACATTTGTGTGACCTTTATGTAGGTGCAATCAGTCATACAACCCAATCAACAATCTGTAATACAAACCGCGACGAATATACAGCCTGTTGCCATCTCTAAAGGAAACGTTATTCTGGTTAGCAAACCTAATTCTGTCATACAAACTGCACAGGGGAGTTTGCAGACACTTCAGGTAAAATTTGTTACATATATCAATTTCTTGTAATATATATTGTGCCCCAGATTTATTTAGATAGATATTAGTATGTGTGGATACAATTATATCTTGTGTATGTGAAAGAGCATTTAAACAATTTGATGAAACATTATAAAATAATTAATATAGTCTGTCATTTGTGTTAAGGTGGTTGAAACCGGTAGCGACGACAGTTTCTCAGATGAAGACTCACCTAAGAAGAGAAATATTCTTACAAGACGACCATCTTATAGGAAGATTCTCAACGATTTAGGCGGAGGAGAGATTACAGGTAAGATAATATTTCATTAAAAAAAAATGCTCTTCAACATATAAGATGTGACAGAAACTGATGCAAAATCGAGAAGAATTTCGTAATTTGCCTTTTGCGGAATGTCGTGGATACAAACTGTAAAAGAACTATTAAAGATCAATAATTACATTCGCGTCTTTTACTTGATCATGTAAGACGCGAGTGCATGTCAGTTCATACAAATCAATAATATGAATATATATAGATACAAATTGATAAATAATATAGTAACTTGCATACTCTTGTATATATATTTTAAAGCGATGTAAATTTAAAAAATTTCAAGCATAAGGATATCTAGCATTAGTTTAAGTGCTTTTTTCTCTTTTAATCATTCATTATGTGTTAATATATATGTATATATATGCTGTTACTAACAGCTCTGTAGTATAATGAATATTTTATATATTAAAGTTCTTAAACACACTCCAGTAATTTAAATTGTAAATAGTGAGCTTTTTCAAGATATATTATAGAATTTTATATAATATTAAAAAATATATAATTATGTATTTTATATTGCATGTATAAGAGAAGTATGCCATACCAAGCTTGTACTATGTACAATATATTTATATATTGCAAATAGTAAATTGTTAATTTTGAAAATAGAATTAGAACGTGGAATTAAGAATTTTGATAAATTTGTGCATAAATTGCTCCTCTGACTTAAATCACTTTGTTTATTGACAAAACTAATCGAAAAAATTTAAGAAACATTGAAAAAGGTAAAACCCTATATCTCGAATAATAAAGGAAATCGGATAAAGGAAGGAAATTGTTTTTGGTTTGGAAAAAATAATTTCTGAATACTTTTCACCGGCAAATACATTTTTGTCCATCACTATAGATACACTATGGAGTACCACTATAATTATTAGTTCGAAATTTATATTTTTTAATTAATTTCTAACGTATGCAGAATATATTAGAAGGTAAGATCAAATGACATAAATATTACAAATAAAAATGTCGATTTTGATGAATGAAAAGAACAGTATTTATAAATAAAATAAAATTCTAAACACTATATATATATATATATATATATATATATATATATATAATATACAGCATCAAACATAAATAAACGTTTTTCTAATTTTATTTATTAAATAAATTATGTAGAATAATCTTTTTGCATGAAACATAAATCTAAAGTGTCATTCTCTCTTGATATATCTTGTATATACTGTTGTCATAATTTATGCAGTAATAAAATACATTAACATATGTAATTATACAAAATTGTTTTCATAGAATGTACTTTAAATTATATGTTGAATGATCATTTAAATTATAATTATAATATAAATTGATTATTATATCAATATAAATTATTTCTGTATATATAAAATTTAATCATAAAATTGAATTTCGTATACATAAATTATTCCCAATAATCAAAGTATTTTAATTTTTTTTTGTATGAGCTGACTGCACACAGCGCAATGATAAATATACAGCTATAATCAACAGCCAGAAAAGAAATAGTTCAATAAATCACGATTATTATAACAAATTCTTATTTTGTTCTTTTCATTTATCGCTGTGATAAAAAAACTTTACTCTCTAAATGCATAAATGCTCTCTTGCAAATCTAAAATATCTATCCCATGCAATCCAAAAATCTGTTAAAGTATCTGATTTGGTGCTCTGGAAAAAAAGAAAAAAAGCGGTACATTCTACATAAAATGACGTACATATATTAGCAGTACCGGTTACGAGCTAATGGGGGTTTGGATTGATTCGGTGTTACAGACGGTCGTTTGCCCCCTTAGAATCATCTTCCGAGTGTGATTCTAACGTGGACAGTGAAGTGTCTTCCCATTCGCTCCATTACCAAACAGGTTGGTTACTTTATCTTCCTTTTACATATCTTTCCTGGCTGTATTTACATTCCACAGGCTGTCTGTATATATTATACATACATATATATATATGTATATATATATATATATATATATATATATATATATATATATATATGTATATATGTATATGTAGTTCTTTGTATTTTTCTGCATACTAAAGGAGATGATGTTAGAGGGGTACTTTAAAAAAAGAAACAGAAACAAAACGAATTAAATTAAGAGATGCACACTCTCTCACATTTACAATTGTCTTCCATCCCTGTGTGTACTGCCTAATACGTGATATATCATTTTTCATGATACTCGCTTGGTGTGGCATTCTTGCTTAGCTGGGATGATGTCTCGATATACTTATCATTCAAAATCATGCGGGGGAAAAAGCGCTAATAAATTTTAAAAGATTACTTTTTAAATGAGATATTAAAGATGCAATAAGAGAAAGTATCATATCATCGCATATAAAATCTTTTTCAAGCGCATTATCATTTTTTCAGCATTGCATTATTGTGACGCGCGACATATTGTCACTTACAAGTTAATTTTCTTACATGCGTTATATATCTCCGTTATAATTTGTTTTACAGTAATTCCTGCCGGTACTATTCAAATTGCGACCCAAGGGGAGGGAGTTCCGGGGCTTCACACATTAACTATGAGCAACGCGGCGACAGCGGGTGGAGCTATAGTGCAGTATGCACAGGGCCAGGATACTCAATTTTTTGTCCCAGGTGTGCTTTTGCATCATTTCCAAGATATTAGAAAGTTTTGTTTTATTTCTTGATTCTTTGCTTTTATAACACAATATTGTATTATTTTATTGTAATAGTACAATTGAAATAATACATTATTGTAATTTCTCTTTTTTTCAGCGCAATAATTAATTAATATAATTAATATATAAAGATGTAATATATTATTGGATTAATATATCGATCATACATATACATAATATAAATTATATTACATAATATAAATTTCACGATATAGTTTGACATGTTGTTCAAGCTGTATTCTTTTGATAAATGCGATAGTAATTCTTATTGAACATAATAAGCAGTTTAGTAAAAAAAAAATCATAAAATTTTGATGCGCGTAACATAAAAATTTGGAAAGTGCAGTCTCTCACAATGTTCCAGCTTACACAGGTCATGGAGTTGTAGTGGAAGATGCGGCGCGAAAGAGGGAATTAAGGTTGCTTAAGAACAGGTAAGCGATAAAAACAAAAACTTTTTTGTTCACATATCGAACATATTTGAAGAAATCTTACATTATGAAAATATCTTTTTTGACAATAAAAAATATTCTTACCTCTATATATTTTGTGTTTAGGGAGGCGGCACGTGAATGTAGAAGAAAGAAGAAGGAATATATAAAGTGCTTAGAGAATCGTGTTGCGGTATTGGAGAACAGGAATCAGACGTTAATCGACGAACTGAAATCATTAAAAGAACTATATCAGCAGAAAACCGACTGAGATTGGTATATGAAGTTTATGCAACAGTGTATCAAAACTATTATCCAGGCGAAGAATCTGTACATGTCTTGTTTGTGTACATTATCCTAAATGTTACTAGGGGTAAGTGATGGTGATGTACATGCATTCTTATAGATAAGCGTTTCTCTGTAACATACTGTATTTAAGTAACGAATATGAAGGCTTGTGAAACTTGCTATTACTAAAGCGGGAAGCCAAAGTTATATGAGACACGGAGGCAGCAAACATGTAGGCAATATTTGGTATATCAATCTCTATTTTTTGGATAAATATAATAGCTTATTCTGTATAAGCTTATTCGGAATCTACATATTGGACGAAATTTCGATTTCATAGTCTCGAATATTTGGATCACAGTAATAACTTTTAACTGGCGTATTCATGTTTGTTTAGTACTCACTGTTTACTGCCCGTTTGTATCAGATAAAGACGTGCCTTGCTTCATCGAGATACATTTTTCACAATTTATTTTATGCTAAAAATCAGCTATTTAATGAGCATAATAAAATTTAAAAGCGTCTCTTTTCAATAGGAATATTTGTGGAAATTGTACCATGGAAAGTGCGAAAGCAAGACACGTTTTCTTCTACTATTGAAACGGGTTTTTAAGACAAGATCTGTGTTTTAAAGTAATGAAACCATTTATATGTTGGTTTCATAAAAAATTGGGAAGCATGCAATGCAACGCTGGAAAAGATTCGCTTCTAAGCTTATTTTAAAATTGAATATTCCATGAATCTTGACATCGTACATAGAAAATTATAAGAGTAGTTACATGATAATGAAATTTGAAAGCGGTATAAGAAAAAGAAAGAAAAAAAAAAGAAAAAAAACGCATCTCTCCAATTTTCATGTCTGCATCGCTTTTCCGTTTGTTGTATAAATACGCGTACACAGAGCGATATTATATCGCTTTTTATAATTAGTAAAATAATTTCTATTTTGCGTCTCGTCAAAATGCCCCGTTCATCAAATGCTGGACAACACAACACTTGTAAAATATGAATGTAATATACATCAGGAGTGCCTTGAAGATTTATGTATACTTGCGGTATATATATACATATGATTGCTGCAACAAAAGAAAGCAACGCGCAATATATGTATATGTATGTATATACGTATGAGAAAAATATGTTGTAGGTAAATATGGGTAGATATATATATATATATATATATGATATTTTTAAAGTATATTAATATAGTTTTATGTATACTTGACACATACATATACACACACACGTACACATACATATGCAACTCTATCGCGAGAATTGTATTATTTTTTGGAAATTTGCGTTTCCGCATAATCTCATCGTTGTCGAATCGAAACAAATTACTGACACAATCGAAATTTCGCGCAATGTATTGTGAATAATATGCGTGATTCTATTATGAAAAAATAACGTTAAAAACCGAAATAAAGAACATAATTTTTTTAACAAAACTCGTTGCAATTGATGACGTAGCGTATACATTTTATTGTTAGTTATTTTATTAATAATTTTAAATTCACATATGATACATGTGTTATCAGAAATTATATTATATTATCATATTATTTCCAATGCATACGAAATTATATTATATTATCATATTATTTCCAATGCATATGAAGAGAATATTATTTATACTAAAATAATTGGAGAATTTGTATTATGCTGGATGCAATCGTTTAGAGTTTCGTATTTTACCGATTCATTATTATTCGTAGTTTTATAACACATACTGAACATTGTCAATTTATGAAACATTGCTTAAGAAAAGAAAGAAAAAACAAAACTAAAGAATCATTAGAGATAATAAATGTGCCGTATCCTTTACTTGTGCATTTTATTACTGCAATTGCAGTTATCAATTTTTTGACACTTGTTATTAGAGTGCCTTCTTTTACATTTTTTAAAAATTCTGTTAATTTTAAATAATCCTTATTAATTTATCAAAACAAATGATTACCATTACAGAAATCTTATGCATATATATTTAAATAATCATCTCTGTTTCTACTTCCTATACATGATTTGAATAATTGTTTAACTTACATCTTTTGATTTTAATTCTACAATGTGTTTTTTACAAGTATCAATCTAAATGTATTTTTTCTTTACAATAAATTTATTTTTTTACAAAGATAAGGTTTTTTTTACAAGATTAGTTTAGAGAAAGTATGGGTATATATTTTAACATTTATTAAACAAATACAATAGATGTATATAATGCGTTGATTTACAGAAATTATCTAATAATTGTTATATGAATATATGAAATAATGAGACAAACTTTTTAATAATCTATTTACTTTTTAATGTTTTTACAAATCTTTTTTCAAAAAGTCCTACATTCAAATGTATTTGCTTATTGCATTTATTATGTTACATTTAGAATATAAAATTCAATTCATTCATCAAAAAACATGTATAAATCTTCCATAATTTTTAAGATTTTATTATATAGCAAATAAGTATATTCAATAAATAGATCTTTCACAATTTCTTGTAATGATGTAGTCTCATTAATTTTAATATTCCTATATATTTTACAGACATATATTCCTTTATATATTACATATGCACATATACTTACAATAATCACTAAAGCTCTGCTTATTTTTATTTACGTAGATCCTTTTATGATTTCTATGTGTCCTGCAAAATTATGATAAGTTAGTTACAATTTCAAAATCAATATTTTTTTTATAAAAAAATTTTTAATTTACTCAGATGGTAGTGCATGTTGAAATAATCATAATGGGATAAAAGTTTATAAAACATTTTATCCTATTATCTCATACATAATATTTCATCATATTATTTATGTATTAAAAACATGTAATTTATATATAATAAGAAATAATGATCTCACCTGTTTGCACTGCAGAATTTATGTCAAAGTGCATCATATATAATTCTGAAAAGAAAAAATAACAGTTTATATATTAGCTCAAATTCCATCTTGCTAAATATATAAATATATATATAATATTTCAGTTGGTAGTGCATGTATGAATAATCATATAATTTCATACTTGACAAAATCATCATATTTAGCTCAACACAAAAAAATGCATTTTCTTATAGGAAATCACTCCTTTTTATTTTAAATCACAAATATTATAATAATACATTTTGAATTTAATTATTTAAACTGAATTCTATCGCAAAAAAGCATATATGTTAAAATAAAACAATTAATTGCAGAGGAAGCACGTGTCTTATAAAGAGGTTACAGCGAGTTTAATTATTTCGATGAACTATTTCTTACATCCCATTATTTTAAAAAATAATATGACTGTCAATTAACAAGAAATTAACGATCACCGAAATCTTTTATTAATAGAATGTATTAATTTTTTTAGCTCTCTTACCTAACACGAAACTCGATCCTCCCTCGTGCTCATCCGCGAAAAGAATCCCTTGTTGCAACATGGCCGATTGTAGGTTGCAACAAGCATAGACAACAAAAGCCATAGAAGCCATCAGCTATCGGACAAAAGGAGCCAATCAATTGACAGCTTTTCCGTAAGAGCCAAATTTTGATTGGCTGGCGCTTATTTGCGCGCGCGCGCAAGAACCAATAGAAAACGTCAAAATATCCTTCACCTTCACTTCCGCGTCAGGCATTTTTCGAGTCAGATGCATCGTGTCTAGATGTTTACACGTGATTGTTGGTTGATCGTGGACAAACGATAAACGGATTATCACTTATGTACACATTTGCATTCAGATTGTAGTGAGATTGACTAACCCTGTAGAATATGTGACTAATGATTCATCTTAGTTATTCGTAATCACTCGTAATAAGTAGCTTGAATCAGCTCGAATGACAGAGTGCAAAAGAGCATACATTTGTCAAACTGACGCATTGATTCTGCCAAGTTTGTCGATCAGATATTGAATAATTTTAAAACATTTTCTAAGAGTTTACTCGGTTTTTTTATTGTATCATTCGTGAAAATTTATGCTTTTTTTTAAACAAACTTCTGTTTTTCGAAAAAAATTTTTGAGCAAGTGTGACTAAAATCACAATTGCAATCGGTGAAAAGAAACCAAGCAATATGGATAGCTTCTATGAATACAGTCTCTTATTATTGTGCGCGTATGTTCGATGAAAAACTTATGCGAACGAACGTTTTATCGTGTTCAAAAAATCAGGATTTGTTTCTGGGATCTTTATAATCGACTATAGTGTTCACCTAGTTTTGAGATCTACACTTGTGTGCCAATAGTTGGCACATGCAATGGGACAAACAGAATTTTCTATATAAAGGTAGTAGTAATATATTTACATTTAATTTTCATGCTAAAATGAGTAAAAATTTTTAATATATTTGACTATAAACATGATACTTTTCTTCTTATGCCAAGATTAGAATATGAACTTTTTACTTTCTATATTTTCATCGGATCAGCAAGAATTCTTAATAATTTCATGTATTATTTACTGAACCATGTATTATATTACTTCACTGATACAATAATTATGCAAAGAAAATAACGGATGTATAAATTTTAATTGCATCTTTTGTACTCCAAATTGTATGAAAAGTATAGTTAAAATAAATAGTCTTAATTGAAAACAAATGTTTCAAGTTGAGATCGTATATATAAAAGTTTAAAACAATATTTTTTATAATGAGATATCTCATTTCAAATATCAATAGTTTATCAATATATTTTTTTATATAGATTTAGAGATATATCAATAAAAAGTTTAGATCTGCAATGTTCTGTAATATTGTACAATAAAGAATAATTTGTAGAACATTGTAAGTTCAATATTATTGCCATTAAACTCATGTTTAATACATAAAAATAATAAAAATAAGTGCTATTTGCATATTGTATCTGTATTTGCAATATAAATATCATTAAATATACTTAAAAAATTAATATTCTATTCTATCTATATATTTTTTTGAGGACCTGTAAAGAGAGATGTATTAAAAAATTATTTTAGTTATTTTATTTCTAATAATAAAAATATACTCGATTATATATTTATATTTTATCAAATATCTCAAGTGAAATTTTATCTCTTTTACATTATTTTTGTTTTATGTAATTACAATACAGTATTTCTCTTTAATTTAGTACTTATTGTTAGTGTGATAATTCAAAGATTATAATAATTTTTTTTAACTTATATTATATTATCTTATTATCTAATCTTTAAAATGTATATTATTTATATTTTTTTTAATTGTGAGTTCTTTTTTATTTCCAGCTAATTCAAAATAAAAGCAAAATGTCTCAAACAACTACTATTGAAACCCTTACTATAACCAGACCACTTAAGGTAAGTTAAAAATTTAATTGTGCATAAGCAAATTATGCATATCTTTTTCTTATTATGCAAAGATTTTAACTATTATATATATGTATTAATTTTTTTATAGCTTGTATTCATTACTCAGAGCTAAACTTCATGTAATTGATCGCTTTTTTCTTACTTTTTTTGCACGATTTTATAGAATAATCCAAAATTCTGGATCTTGCAAATAAATGTGTAAATTATTTTTATCAAAAATTTTTTAATTTTAACATTAATTGTTACTTTGTTAATTTTGATATTAAATTAAACGATCCAAAAACGATTGAAAAATTCGACAGATTCTCATTGATCTAACTTGCAATTGTTCCACAGAATACATATTTAATATTATGAATATATCCTATTAATTAATATTATAATTAATCATAATCAATCCCTTTCGAGGACTGAATAATAATCGCAAATTTCTCAAAATTGTGACTCGATAATATTCAGAATCGTATTTAGTATTTAAAAAAACTGGAAAGTTGTTATTATTTTTATTATTTTTCTTGTGTACAATAAATTATTTATAGTTCAACAAAATGAATAGGTTCATGGGACAAAAATAGAAAAAAAAATAGGTAGAAAGAGAAAGATACATAATAAGCAGATAGAGAGAGGGAAGATAAAAAAAACTATAACTGGAAAAAAGGCAAAGAGAGAATATATCCTATTAATTAATATTACAATTAATCATAATATTACAATTGATACAATAATAAATCTCTTTCTAGGACTGAATAATCGCAAATTTCTCAAAATTGTATTATTGAAAAAAAAAACTGTGGAAAGTTATTATTTTTATTATTTTTTTTGTGCGTAAAAAATTATTTATAGTTCAACGAAATGAGAAGGTTCACGAAACAAAAATAGAAAAAATAGAGAAAGATACATAGTAAGAGAGAGAGAGGAAAGATAAAAAAAAAAACAAAGTGGAAAAAAGGGCAGAGAGAAAAGAAAGCAGGAGAGTGCAGAGATTGGCACTCGCGCGCACTGCGCCGCGACCTTTAATGGGCGCTGATGGGCGCAGCCTCCCTGGAACTTGGAATCCGCGAATTGCTTCCTCCCAATCCCCAGTTCTCGCGGAGAGTGTGTTCTCGGTTTTGAGAGACGCGGTTTCCACTCTCTCTCTTTCTTTCTCTTTTCATCTCTACACCTCTTCCCCTTTATTCTTGTTTTTTTTTCGCGTATTGCATATTATCGCGAGAATAATTATTAAAAATATCTGTCCGTTCGGCGCGTTGACGCCAACCGAACACTGCCATTGTGGATCTGTCATTCCGTCCGCTCTCCGAAAAAAAGAGGAAAAAAAAGAGAAGGAAAATAGTTCGCGCCGAGGGTTGCCCTCGTCCGATAATACTGCAGACCAGCCGCGATGAAAGCCGTTGACCCGCGCGCCCGTTAATCAACCCTCTCTTCCTTCTCCCCTTCTCCTCCCCCTACTATGCGAAATCACAATCACGATCGTCGCGCGAAACCCTCGGTGTACGTTGTTTTACGACCCGCGGCGTATCTCGGTGCTGCTTGAGGAGATTTCGCGACTCTCCGTCTCTTTCTCTCTCTTTCGACGCAGCGTCTATCTGTCAAACGTGAAACGTCAAAAAAAAAAAAAAATTGGTGGAGGACGATGTCTTGCGAACGCCGCTCCGCAATGATGTCGATCGCTCGTCTTTAAGAGTCTCTATCTCTTTCGCGATCTAGACTTGAGAAGTTGCACTGTTCGTCGTGAGTGTTTTTACACTTGGATTGTGAGTTCGGGAAAATAAAATGATTATGTATACGGTCGCGGAAGATCACATGGGCGATAACGAGATCGCGCAGGTATCATCCGCAAGAAAACCAAATTTTCTTTGTTTCTCAAGTCTTTCTCAAGGTATTTATTGTATCACAATTGTGAGACGATGATGCTCAGTGGTGATACAATGAGTTATCTTGATAATCGTATGATTAATTTCCTCTGACACTTGTCAATCTTTACAGGTAATTGCATTTATATGTGGTATCATTGTGGTGTTGCTGATGATAATGGGTCTGGCATCGACTGACTGGCTAATGGCTCTGGGATGGAGACAGGGCTTGTTCGCTCATTGTATCGAAGAGGGTGCTCCAACGCCACTTCCCTTTAACATGCCCGATCCTCCGGGATGTTATCCTGCAAGAGACACAGGTAATGATTAGTCATTTTATTACTAAATGGAATCAGAAATAAGAAATAATAAATTATAAATTATTATTTCATTATATTACAGCTTACATAAAAGCAGCTGCAGCCTTATGTGTAGTTTGCCTTCTAACAGACATTGCTGCAACAATTCTCACTGGTCTAGGTTTACGTACACAGGACCACAGAGACAAGCACAAATATTATAGATTTGCAGTGTTTTGTATGGCTATTGCATGTGAGTATTGTATGAATTTATTTTTTTCTGTCTCCATTTTTGTATAATTATATATTTTATTCTGTTTCAGTGGTGTCTCTCTTGATAGCGCTGATCATATACCCCATATGTTTTGCAGCAGAACTGAATTTTGGTAAGGTTTCAATAATTCATTGTATGATTTTGATAGATAAAAAGAACGAATACATCGCAAATATATAATAATAATAATTTGTGAAATTATATAATAAAATACATAATTTTTAGGAAACCGAACCAATTGGGAATTTGGTTGGGCATATGGCGTTGGTTGGGGTGCAGTCATTTTTCTGGTTGGAGGAGCAGTACTGCTGTTATGCGAGAAGGAAAGCGAAGAAATTTATTACAAGGAAAAGAAGACTGTTCGTGATGATATAGGAAGTGGTGGTTCCATGATCGGTATGGGACATCACGGCGGACGAAGTGGAACGCAGCTAGCCTAGTGGCATTGCTCCCTGCCCGATGTTGTTCTCTAGGTGATTTATTTTATCTTTTTCTGTTCTCACAGTTCATACATGCGCATACGAAAAGACATACAAAGGCTTATAAGACAGGTTTCTTGATAGTGTTTTTGACTCTAATGCAAAGAAAACTATCCTTACAGATTCTCTGACAAAATACTTTCCTCAACCTTAATACTCAAATATGAAAACACATTAACAGGTTTATCATAATTATATATATGAGAGTAAAAATAAAAATAATCTTTTGCGAATTAATGTTTATATACATAAAAAGTAGAAAATTTTCGCATTTATTATTAAGTTCTAAGTTATAACAGAAAAAATTTACTATCGAGATCCAATATTAAACATTGATAAGAAAAAGAAGGACATTTGTTGAGAAACTTAAGAGACTTAAATAATCAAAGAATCTGTAAGTCAGTTTTTATTGTAGTTGGATATTTGAAGATATCTGGAATAGACATAATTTGAGTTTATTAGACGGATGTGTATTTGAGTTATTATCAGTTTGACATAAGATCATAATATCTCGTTAAAAAGAGTAACAAGCATTTTCATCTTCTCATTTTAGACTATTTCTTATTTATCAGTCACAACTTTTATACCAACAATTTCGGGACCATTATCAGCTTAATTCTGTTAATATATTTCCATATATTTTCTACATTTTGCATAATCTTGCACAATTTTATATACATGTGTATGTTTTTTTTACTGCGATTTATAATTGAAGGCTTATCTGCGACATATAATGTGAAAGCATATAATGCGTAAACGCTGCATTTATTGTCCAGAAACTAAATTAATAAGAATATCATACCGAGTCTCTGGGTATTATATACAAAACAATTCAAGCAGGAATTTTATGTTTTTTCTTCTTGCATAAATAACGAAGTATGTACACACATAACTGTTATCAATTAATTCACAAATAAACTTTATATTTTTTTATTTTGTTTTTATTTCATATTTTACTTTAATTAGAAGCGGTAAAAAAAAAATTTTCTTAAATTTATTTTTAATAAATGAACAAGATTTATTATATCTAGGTGCACTAGATTTTCAAAAGACATTATTTGTCAAAATATCTTGACATATATATTCTTTTTTCTTTATGATATCAAAATTCGTCCAGTCTAAATATCTGTTCTCGCTCAAATAAATAGCGTCCCTTTCAATTTTATACTTAATATTTATAGCTGAGAGCTCCAAAGTTTAGAGACGCAAACAGATAAAAAGTTCTATTCTTTTTTAAATATAATTATTCTTTAATTTGAAATTTATTTACAATAGTATTTTAATTTAAAATAATACTATTGCATGTGCAAAAATGACCAAACATCAATAAAATTTTCAATTTGTAAAAAATCGAATTTTATCCTGACACACAGGACGCTATTTAGTACACATGTAACACAATTATATCTAAGTTAGCATTCTACAAATAATATCTTTTTTTATTCCTGCTGCACAATTCACTTTCTTCTACAATGATAAACATATCATATATTTTAATTAGTTTTATCAATTATATTTATACAGTATTATACTTATACAATATTATACTTATACAGGTTATTCCAGGAAAAATAAGATAGAATTTGTAAAGAAATGTTATTCAATTCTAAGTAAAAAAGTGATATAAATATATATAAATCTGACTTGAAAAATCATAATTTTAATGAAAAAAAGAAAAAATATAAAAATAGAGAAAGTCTATTACAATGAAAAAAATATGGAAATATAATAGTAGATTTATTCAGTAAAAAAATAATTGCGAAATTGTTGTATTAAACTATTGTTTCTTAGCAATTTATACTTTCAATATGTTGGGCAAGTAAACATTCTTTCCAATTTTCCAATGCATTAAAAGTATATCTAATAAACAAATCTATTTAAAAATACTCGAGTAATACCGTCCAATCAGAATATTTTTGCTGGAATTATCTGTACATTCAAAATTGAAATTTTTAATAATCAAAAACAAAATATTCATAAATTATTAGCTTATTAAATTAAAATTAAAATTTTTAAGTGAGTGACTGAAAAAAAGATACATATGTAAATTATATAAAACTTTATTATAAAAGAGCACTTAAACTTTGAGAAAAAATCCATTAAACGCATTTTTATCTTACTGAATATTCATGCGAAGGTAAATATAATTGAAAAGTTGCAATTATAATTGCTTTCTTTAAAATATTATGTAAGATAATTAAAATAAAATTTTTGCCTATGTATCTTTTTTCAGTTGCTATCTTGATTTTTTATTTTTATTGGAAAAAGAAATTCTCAAAAGATAATATATATATTATCTTTTTCAAATTTTTTGTAAATGTGGTATATTATATACTATATTACTAATAATTTATAATTTCTATGCATACACATATGTGCATCACACATACACATTTTTTTTTGCTATTCTTATTTTATCTTTTTTTATTTTATACATAATCTATGTATATTGCTAATATATACATATATAAGTATATATATTTATATATTGAAATCTACCACTTTTATTGCATGTTATAAATTTTTAATATGTATAGGGCACACATCCTGAGAAAGGAAATACAATTTACTTAATATATACTGTTTGATACAAATTTAAGCTAAAGAGAGCCCTATAATTTTAGTTTATATTTTATTACTATAATGGTTGTAATGTTTCTTTGACTTGTAATAAGTAACTTTATTACAGACTGAGACAACTCTTTAAGTATTTATTGTTCAATATTAAAACGATGATGCATGGCTGGGATGATGTACAAGCCTCGTTTGAGCCGTAATAATGATTTACGAATGAAATTTCATTAATCAATTGAAAAAAAAAATATTCCTTCTTGTGATAGAAAAATGGCTCGACTAAAGCTTATTCGTTGCACTATTATTGTGTATGCTGATCATCATCTTCATCCATTTCACATTGTCTGCATTAATTACATTGATTATGAAAAAAAGACTGTAGTAACGTGTATCGGAATGGACCTTGTGCAGCATGAAAGCGATCAATCTCTTTCAAACGCTTAACAGCAAAGTTCTAAACATTGTGAAGCGATGCATAGCGATGTTCATCGATTTTAGCGAATCTTGAACTTATTACCTCATGTATCTTTTAAGTTAATTATAAAGCACAAAACATTAAGTGTGGGATGAAACAGAGGCAGCTCGGGCAGATGTTATTTATTGCGTTGTTTACTGCATTAGATACGTGTACGTATATGTGTATATATATAGATATAATATAATATTTTATAACTATATGTAGTTTTTAGCATTATATACATAAACGCAAATATGTAATAGTCGAATGTGTGCAGTTTGCAATGAATACGGTCTATGTTAATGCATTGAATTCGTCATCGGTTGGTATCGACTTACAATTGAGCCACTTAGAAGTCTGTTTGATCAATTTCACTTTTTATAAATTTGTTTAAATAGCATATAATGAGTGCTATAATACTAAAATTAAGAAATTTACAAAAAGTGAAATAGATCAGTTTGAAGTTCTTTTCAGAGAGAAAGAGAGAGGCTCAATTACACAGTATAATTTCTATATACTTCAAAAGAAATAACGCATGCAAAAGTATTTGTATGCAAAATTTTGAGCCTTTTTGGTTGATACAGTTAAGAGAGAAAAAAAGACGAAAGAAACTCGAAAGACTATTAAGAATTGAGTACAATGTTGTTATATTATATTCCGCTTATAAAGTAGATTTTATATTCTTTAACTGCTTAATCCCCCTTTTTACTGCCGTAGTACTCCATTATATAAGAAACACTATTGCGATATAAGGAACTAGTAAGAAATTACAAAGTGTACGTAATAAATTTGTGATTTCTATATATCATGTGCACATAACACATAAGACAATCTGTTATGTCAGTCTTGTGTATGCTGACTATGTAATTCTGTCGTTTATTTGCAAAAAAAGGGAAAAGCAACGCGATAATAAAAGTATATTAATTAGAAATATATTAATACATAATTATATAATATATTAATATTTAAAAATAAAAATATATATATATTATCTATAATGAAACATATCCAAATATACGTTTTAATAAAATTAAGTAATCGTAGATTAAAAATATTTAAGATTTTCGAAATAAGTTTTCCACATGATTAATGATGTATGTGACATGTGGGTGTAAGTTTACGTATATTGAATGTTTTTAATCGCGTCAGTGTTTGCAAATTTGCGACAGAATCGCAATCGCTATGTAGTCATCAGATTTGCCATTTTCTACTCCATTTACTAGGCAATTTTTAGTTAAATAGGATTGTACAACAATATACGTAACATATATGTCATCGCTGACTTGTATTACACACAATTATTTAGGCGTTCAGCAACATTTTGTAAAGTATTTTAAAGCATATACATATCGCACTTATCATAATAGGTATATCGTTACATGTATAAGTATGGACATCGTAAATTGACATATTATTTATGCGCCATATTCCAATGTTAACGTATTGTATTGTACAAAGAATATAATATAACGTTAAAGCTGTAACTGTAAGTATACGAACATATCTCTCACTGTTAACGAGGCAAACATACCTCATAGGGTATATCTCTAATTTTTTAAAATAATTATCCAAAATCCAATTGAATTTTTTGTAAAAACATACTATTTTTTATATAATTTATTTATATAAAAATTATATATACACAGATTTTCAATAATATACATATTATGTTTATTTTATTAATATTATGTATTATATATAATATTCTTTTTTCAAGGTAACTTATATAAAACAACAAAATTATTCGGAGAAAGAGATATATGCAAAAGATACATAGTGTGAATAGTCAAAAGATTATGTGAAATCGTATCACATGATAAGTTATAAAGTTTCAACATTGATTATCGCTTCTGAGAATTTTTATAATTCAAACTTAATCTTAAAATATTATTAATTATCAGAAATAATATATTGTTATATTTTTTATATATAATATAATAGATTATCTAAATTATTATATAAAATAATAGTATAGTATTATATTTATATAATTATTATATAAAATAAATAATACAATAATATATAGTATTAATTAAGATAAACCATTTTATTAGATTGAATATTCCTTTCCGAAAGTTCCCGCCGTTCGAGCGACCAATCCGATCGAGATCGCGTCCGCTGCGATTGGCGGATCCACACGGACAGCCGCCACGGCGACGTCGAGACGCGTGTCTTGTATGCGCGCGATCTCGACCGTTAGAAAATTGCGCCATTTTTTTCAGTTACCGAGTGAGTCGTGTTATTTGGCGGAAAGTAGCCGCGTAATTGAGAGCGTGCACACGCGAAACTTGTCTCTCGGCGTTGTTCCAGCGGTCGCGCGACCGGACGGAATAATCGGGTGCGTGTTGTGCGCGAAGTCCCCCGCAGGCGGCTCGTAGTCCACGTGCGCGGATCCACGAAGCGCACGAAAATTTCTCGGGATTAATCATCGATCGAAATAAACGAGGGGAAACGAAAACAAGGCGTCAGGCGTGGATCTGTCTGCCTCCGGAGGTCGTAAGTTGAAAGTTCGGCCCGCTCAACCCGGGTTTGTTTTCCAGTTAGGGATCGCGATCGAGGAAGCAAAATGTCCGTGGACACACTGAGCGACTCCGAGCTCCGAACGAAGCTGATGGAGTACGGTTACCCGGTGGGACCGGTGACGCAGACGACCCGCAAGATACTCGTGAAAAAATTAAAGAACCTCATCGAGATCCGCGGTGGAACGGGAGGAGGCTCCCGGCATTCCTTGGCCGCGAGGTGAGCGTCTTTTTTTTTCCCTTCAGTGAAGATGTGCCTCGAAGAAGAGTTTCGCACTTTTAGCTGTGTCATATTTATATACATTTCGCGCTCGACAAGTATGTGTTTGATATTTGTGGGAGAGAGAGGGAGAAGAAATCAGATACAATTTCGTCGAGTTTAAATTTCGCATATATTAGCACGTAATGTGACTCTTACGTTTATATTCGTGGATAGGTAAAATACGATTTTTTTCTCACGTTAGAAGTTATAATCTGTCTCGATATTAGATAGAAAAAATATATGTAACACAAAATTTGTGCCTTGTTTTGTTTATGAAATACGATACAAAGTTTTTTTATTTTGCATCAGTCGCTAATAAAATGATTGATTTAATTTAACTTTCTTGAAATTATTATATTGTTTAAGACGCACATCAATATTTTAAATAAAAATATTTTCTGTATCAGAAAAGCTCGTAAAGAGAATTTCAATGATAAGATAAATTCTGGAAATTTGCTCTTTATTTTCTATTAAGTAACAATATTTTTTAATGTTTTATGCGTATATATTTTATATTCGCATCTTCATCTAATATTTCTTTATCTGTGTATTAGATATAGCAGCGATGACACTGATGATGACACAAACACTAATGTCATTAAGAAGAAAAAGAGTGCAAATTTGCGTCGACAAACACTAGCGAATCCTATGCCTCCACCTTCGATTATTCCCACTGATGCTACGAACGTAACAAAGAATCCAGTTAAGGAAAATCTATCACCACCACATTCAGAATTCAAGGATCCCAATGCAACAGATTTCGATAATTCAAACGTGACTTCTACGACTCGTGTAACAAAAACTTCATACAACAAATTTACCAAGACACAAAAATCGTCCTACGTGTCTGATGGTTTGGAAACTGGATCGGATTCAGATGCAGTGGAAGATACTGGAAGCCCTTATGGACGTTCATACGATAAGTACCTGTCCAATCCGAGTAGCAGATTGTCCGATCTTCGAGTACACGATCGTGGAACGTTTGATTATGAGCAAACGTCGAAAACTAGACCTGTTCATGTAACAAAGGACATCAAGTACAATGTTTCTCCTTTGAAGCCAAGTGTCTCTCCAATTCAGTTTACGAAAGAAGACATTAGTGGAAGAGATATTACAAATCAGAGAGGAGACCTTCTTGCAAACTATGAAACTCCATTTTTGTCAGAATTTACAAGAAGACTTAGTTCACGATCACTGATAAATACACCATCGACATTGTCGAATTTAAAAAGTAAGCACATTTTTCTGTGTGATAAAATCTAATATACTTCAATATTAAAGTATTTGTTTCAAATTTAAAAATATTATACATCCAAATTTAATTAAAAAGAAAAGAATTTTATAATTTGTATCATGTAAGAAAGATAACCTTGTAACAAACTTTGATCTTAGTTACTTCAAAACAGGTATAATTTATTGCTAATTATATACAAAATATTCTAAAATCACTAGATATTCTTATAACTATAATTTTATTAATTAATTTAATTTGTCTTTAAATTGGAAAAATATAACAAAAGATTATTATTTGTCATATAACTTTTAAAATATTATATATTCTTTGTAACTAATAAGTTTATAAAATTAAAATTCTATCAAATTCTATTAAATCTGAAATTAAAAGAAAAATATAAATTTATTATGTATATTTTTTCTGACACAATTAATTTGTTATTTTGGATCAAGTTACTAACAACATTATTGCTTGGTTTAAAATGTGGATAAATTTTAGTAATTATATTGTATATTATATAAATTATTGTGAGATACAAAATATAATATTGAGACAAATTATTTATATGCTTTCTAATTTTGCAATTTTTTAAAATAATTTTATATTTAGATCCTACATTACGACATACTCTGTCATCTGGTCTACCGGAGGTAAAGGAAAGAGATTCGAATGGTCATTTTTCATCCTTAAGGACCATGTATTCGCCATCGAGTCAGCCGTCAAGGTATGCATAAATTATTATTTTATTTGAATTATTATAAGTAATATAATGTAGACAAACGCTGTTTAGTTCAAGACATAGCGCATCATCCGCCGATAGGGTTCGAGATATCATTAGTAGAGCGACTTACAAACCAACGACGAATACAAGGGAGGATGTACGAAACAATCAGAACATTGTATCAATGGGCCTTGTGGCAGTACTTGCCCTATTTTTTGTAGTCCTTGCAATAATATATTTGGGACTTGGTAATCGAGATGGGAAAGTTGAGACCCTTCCATCGATCGCATCGGGTAGGTATGGAGAGATTTAATTAAAAAAAAAAAAAAAGAAATATACGTTTGCTTCTCATTAATAACAAAGTGCAAAGCGCACAATATTTACGCTCTTTTTAAAATCATTCTTAGCTTATAATGAAAAGTCGTGAATTATTGTATGACTCTTAATTATTACTAACGTTCAAGCTTATTGCTATTTCTACGAAATTAAAATAATTATCAAGGTTATATTAGATATGCAAAATCTTTTAAATATGTATTTTTCTTTCTCTATATTAATGTATAATAAATATCACATACTTCTTGAATTAATTTTGATATTTTATTTCCTTTTCCCGTTCTCTTATAGATTATATCTGTTACAATATATTTAAATTATTTGTGGATATATATTTTTTTAGACCGCAATATAATGCGCGTTTATGAAATTATATTTAAAATGTATTGAGAAGTTTAGAAAATTATTGATTTAAGTTAAGGTTGTTTAATTTTTTATAAAATTGATTGGGGGGTTTCAATCTTCGAATTCTTTATTATTCTGTCCAAAAAATTAATATGGTTTTCCTATATTGAATTTTTGTTTTGCAGCCAATTTTTTGACCGAAAAATTTTCTATTATCGTTTATCCAAATATTTGGATACTTTTTTTTTAACTTTGTGTAGAGTAATTTATCTAGCAATTGCAGCTTATCAAAATCTAGTGAATTTATTTGTATCATATACAGAAAAGAGAAATGAGAAAAGGTAGTTTTAAATATTATTATAAATGATAGTTTCTTTTTTAGATCAATTTTTTAAATTAAAGATTATAGTTATTTTTTGGATCAAAAATTTTATTGCTTGCAGAATACTATATACAATAGTTTGTCATTTGAAACATATGACAAATATTGTTATTTAATCAGTATTTTATAAAATCTATTCCTGATTTTTTCTATACTATATATACGACGTATCTATGTATATATATATATATATATATATATATATATATATTCATAATTTTAATATAATATATGTAATATTTATAATGTTATACTCCTATACTTATAGATAACAACATACCGCATTGTTTTGATGCTCCAAATCTTAAACAACCTGGGGTGAATTGCGTAATGAAGGAAAACGTAGAGTCTGTGTTGCAGCTAATAAGACGTCTGCATCCCATTTTAATGAAAAAGGCAGTGTCTAAAATATGTGAAAATTCAAATGAGAAACCGTATTTGATCGATAAAGATATTATAGAGATGTTTACGAGCGATAAAGTGGTGGGTTGAGAATTAAAAGTAAACTGTATTTAATGGCATAATAATTATTGATAATTATTTCTATTTCTTTTTCAGACCAGCCTTGAAGTGAAGGATGATCTGCATAGTGCACAAGTTTTAATCTTTAAAAATCCTAAATGGGATATCTCGCTTATTGATATAAATGACGATAATGGAGAAACTTTTAAAGAATTGGATGCTCTAGTATGTATATAATATGTTAAGTCATCCTATTATGTGCTCATATTATTAACAGATATTAAAGCATTTGCTCAATCGTTACAGGACGAAATATTGTTCGCTCGTCATAATGAAAAACTTGGAATGACAATACTAAATCCTGAGCTGCCAATGCAATGCCTTGTTAAAAACAAGCTTTTTACCATCTTTTCTTGTCTCCTTATAGCAGCAATCGGTAAAGTTCTAACAGACTGTTTATTTGAAAAAACTTATTGACTTTTATTATAAATTTCTTATATGCATTAATGAATGCTCAATATGTTGCATTATTTGTATATTTATAAGATTATTTATTGCTTGTAATGTGATCTGTATGTTATACATTAGTAAAATAGTTGCATCTTAAAACAATTTCATGTTTTGCTGGTATAATTTTTCGTATATCATAAATTGATATTGAATATGACAAAGCATTTCTTTCTTTAATCACAATCGTCATATACATAGCATAATCACATAGTGATCTATTAATATTTCAAAATTCAGTGATTAAATACATGATGTATAAATAAATAGGTGAAAAAAGAAATAAGTGCTATGTTACAAAATTGTTCACAAAATAGTTCACAAAATAACATATTTACAAGATATAGTCTGTATTAGAATACATAAAAATGTATATGTAAAAGATTTGTAATAGTGGCTATGCATCTTCAGTTTTATTAACAGGTATTGGGATCTATAAATCGTATCTTTGGTACCTAAAATACAAGAAATGTACAGAAAGAGAGGTATTTAAACTTGTTAGTGAAATCATAAGTATCGTTGAGACGCATCATCAAAATGCATCTGTGCAACCCGGTGGCGCGCAGGAAAGTTTTCTTGCTATAAATCATGTGCGAGACAATCTTATTCCACCAAAAGATCGCAAAAGGATGTCAAGTCTTTGGGAGAAGGCAGTGAAATTTTTAGATGAAAATGAATCTAGGTAAGATAATTCTCTTCTTATCACTGTTTTATATCACGTTTACCGCTTATGTTCGTAAGAAGTACATCAAAATAATATATATAATTCTGATCTTTAGAATTCGACGAGAAGTACAACAAGTAGCAGGAGAAGAGTTCCATGTATGGCGATGGTTGCCGAATAATACTTTAAATAAATCTCCCATGCAGAGCGCGACTTCGGGTAAAAAGCCAAAAGTCTGGCAAGGACAAGCATTCGAAACAATGGAGGGGTCGGTTAATAGTTTGACTTGTTCACCAACACCCTGCTTGAAAATCAGACATATGTTTGATCCAGATATGTAAGTGATAATAAAACATATATGTATAATACCTAAGAAAAATTGATAATTTGAACTTAAATAATTTTTTGTTACGATATAGTGAAACTGAAGATGATTGGGAGACAAGAGTACAGGATGCTATTTTGGAAAAATGCGGAGAGGGTGTAAAGATACTCCACATTCGCGTAGATATTGGTAGCCGTGAGGGTTGCGTTTATATGAAATGTATGTCGCAGAAAGATGCCGGTGAAGCTTATAGAGCGTTACACGGATGCTGGTTTGATGGTACGTCATAAGCTATAAGTTTATACTTTATTTTCTCTGTACTTTTAGCTTTTAAACAGGTATTGCCTACTAAAAATTACGTGAAATGGTCATCTATTACATATAAAATTTTCACATATTCAGATAATATTATTGTTATAAGTATATAGAACACTATAGCATAAAAATGTTAAAAATACATACGTATATTATAACTTGATATCTTAACACTTGCAATATCATACTTCTAATAAATTCTTTTTTTTTCCTTAGGTAAATTAGTGACTGTAAAGTACCTGAGATTAGAGCGTTATCATGAGCGATTTCCGGATGCCGCTCGCTGCATAACGCCTCTCAAACCAAGTAACAATCAACGATTATCCATGCAAGCGCATTATTGGCAGAGTCCTGCTGAAGCGAATTAACAGCTGGCGTTTTTGTTTGGAAAAAATATTGAATACAAGATTATGAGCTCTCATGTCTGATCCAACACATAATTACTTGCTGAGCAGAACTGACAGAACCTTTTTACTTTTTTGTTTCAAAATATAAAATATCTTAGCATAATAGAGCACAAATACATATTACAGGATTGAAAACGCTTCTATTTTATAAGAACATTTTTCTTTAATTCGCTAATTTGTGTATTATATACTACTTTATAATCTTTTAACATGAGGACAGAGAAAGTACGTGTTTTTAATAGTTGAGTAATAATAATAATAATTATAATATTATTAATAACAGTAAAATGTTAATATAATAATTAAATATACTTCTAAAAAACTGTAAAAATATATTTTAATCTGAGTTTTTTTTTAATATTTTCAAATAGCAATACATATGCAAATAAACATATCGCGTTTTTTATAAGCCTATCCAGATTGATCTGCAAAATTTGCATTAATTGTATAAACATATGCAAAGAAGATAATTATTTGATATAAAGAAGATTGCGATATATAGTGTTCTTTGTGATTGCTTGATTTTCTGTGTATATTATAATTACATCATCATACAAGGGTGAAAGTATTTTTAATAGCTTAAAGATACGATATTAATAAATTAATGCTCTTTTTTAATAATTACATAATTTTTTATGATATATATTGTAGAAATTTACAGTGTGATGAATATATAAAATTAAATAATTTTTTAAAAATAAAGTACAAAGTTAAATGATAAACAAAAATTGGAAAAATTAATTTTGTTTAAAGGGCAGTAAGAATTAAATAAAAAATCGTAGAAAAAAACATTGCAATAATCAAGGAATATTAGTATATCTCCAATATAATAATAAATTTGTATTATATATTTTTTTATTAGGACCATGGGAGATATAATATTTGCGGTAAGAAGATATTCTATAAATTTTTGTGGAATTTAGTTTCGCTCAATAATGTTCAACTAATATATAAAGGACAGGGAGGGGAACAAGCGATTTTTCTACAGTAAGGAAGGAGTAGATGAACTTCGGTACACTTCGGTCAATTCCGTCAAAGTGGTTGACCAATCATGTTGATGTAACTGCCCGAAATTCATGACTCCCCCTTCCCGTAAAAATCACTTGCCCCTCTCAAATGGTCTTCGTCTGCAGTCAAGTGCAGTCTGTCTATTCCGATGTCAACGTGACGAACGTGTTACGAGTTCGCTTATTTAGTTGAACGCTTCGAAATTATTGTATGTACATATGAGACCTTGGGAAAACGAGAGGAATTTGCGTGTATAAAGGTATTAAAAATGAAATATTCCACTTCGCCACCAGCCAGTCGATGTCACTCGCCTGTTCCGACAGAATTTTCATCTTCATTGCCAATGCCAATCGTTAACAGGTACTGTATCCTGTCATTTGTATACGTATTTATTATTTGCTCTTTTGTACTTTATCCGAATTCTTATTTTTTTAATGATTAAATAATGATTATCACATTGTAGGCATAATTGTATGGGTGCTGCGGCAAAATGTTACAAGTATTTGAGAAAACTACTAAAATGTGAACAAATGGATTTTGAATTTGCTATTTGGCAAATGATATTTCTACTTATAGCACCACAGAAAGTCTACAGAAACTTCCAAAATAGAAAACGTATGTTACCACTTTAATAATATGCTAAACGATACATCACAAGTTGTCTAACATCATATGTTTTTCCAGAAACAAAATCACAATTTGCAAGAGATGATCCTGCATTTTTGGTGCTGGTCACATGCTGTTTCTGTGTGTCAACCATTGGTTTTGCTATAGTATTAAGTTTAGGATTCTTCCAATTTATAAAGTTGTTATTTTACATGTTTTTTATCGATTACATAGCTGGGAGCTTATTAATAGCTACAATATTTTGGTAAGTATATTAAATACCTTCAGATCTTTTTATTGCACTGCCTTTCTAGATATCCTCTTTTTTAATAAAAACTTTCATCAATGTTTTAAATTTATAGTCTTGAATTAAACTATTAATTTATTATTAAATTTACTTAAACTTTAATTCATTTTAAAGTATATGACTTCACATACAATTAGTATTTTTGATTTCAGATTATATGCATATTTAATATATTTATATACAAATTTCTCGCTATCCTTTTTCAATTAGTTTTCAACTTTTTGTACTACTGAATATTTATTTTTGTGAACAGGTTTATGACCAATCGTTATCTCAGGATAGACAGACTACAAGATGTTGAATGGGGCTATGCATTTGACATCCATTTAAATGCAATGTTTCCTTCTTTAATTATACTTCATATCTTACAATTGTTTTTATATAATGGTATGTGACTATATATATCATCTCTCCTGTCATGTCAAATAATTAATTTTGAGATATAATTCTTTTTTTTTTTTTTTGCAGCTTTGATAAATAATGATACATTCTCAGCGCGATTTATTGGGAATACTTTTTGGTTTATAGCTATGATTTATTATATTTACATTACATTTCTTGGTTATGCAAGTAAGTACATTAAAAGCATATATATTTTTTTTAAATTATCTAATCTAATTTTTGTTCTCTTATTATTCTTACATTTCAGATACTGAAATACTTCATAAAACACATCTGTTGCGTGTCTTCATGTTATTCATATTACCGATAGTATTTCTAACATATATTACAACATTATGTGCAGGTATCAATATCAGTTACTTCGTTATGGAATACTATCGTTCTCGAGCTTTATAAATACGTCTTGTTATATGACTGCAATGTGTTGAATTTGATTAAATCTGTCTTTTGCATTGACATTAAAATAATGTAGCTACATCCAAATACGATAAAATTTGTAATATGTTTTCCTTTTGCATTTAAAAGTAGTATTTTTAATGATTATTTTTTCATTATATATATATATATTTATATTAGGAAACTGTAAAATGCAACGTTTCAAATACAATTTATGTAATAACAAAGAATTTTATTTATAAATTTTGATATCGATATTATGTGTTTATAAAATTTTATATAATTTATCAATATAAATAAATATGAATATAAAATATCAGTCATGAATATTTTGTTTCGGAATGTGAATAATCCCATGTCAATGATAAGCAAGAACCAACCATCTTTTTATTTACTAGAAAAGAAAGAGATTGATTGGTCGCTTTTTCGACGCGTCTGCGAGAGCTAAATTTTCACCTCGGTAGAGCTTCATCATAATTTCTGGATCTATGCCGCTGACACTAACGCCCTACTCGGAGATCAATGAGCATCAATGAAACTAATTGTAAAACTTTAAATTGTGTATATGATTTATTATTGTCGGCGTTCTTTTTGTGGCTTCGTGTTTAATTTTATTTGATTGACATTTTTTCGATTGAATCTACACAATGAGTACACAAGCTTCCTCCGCAAAAATAAAAGAATTACGCTTACCCATCTCCAGAGTAAAAACGATCATGAAGAGTTCTCCTTATGTTGATACTGTCGGACAGGATGGATTGTATTTGGTTACAAAAGCTACGGTAAATAAATCGGAGCTTAGGCATATATATTTATTTATAATCGTATTGTGATAAGTATGTTAAAACAAATTTGGTAGAATGTATTATAATTCACTCATTAGATTTCGTTATTTTATTTGTGTCTTAATATTACCTGGATATATTCTACAGGAACACTTCATACATTATCTAACAGAGGAGGCACACATGCAGAGCAACAAAGGACCCTCTTTGGATTATAAACACTTGGCAGAAGTAGTGCAGACAAACGATACGCTGGAATTTCTCAGAGAGATAATGCCCAGAAAGATCACGGTCAGACAATTCAAGGAAATGATGGCAGCTAAAAATGCATCCCATAGTAGTTCTTCCGAGACTAGCTCAGATTCAGACAGCGACAGTGACTCGGATTCAGATTCTTGTTCAGACAGTGATGAAACAAAAGCAGAGAACGGAAACACATCAGGCAGTGAGCGAGAAAGTGACACTAAAGAGAACGGTGCATGTCATTCTGATAGCGAAAGTAGTGTAAAGAGTGATAGCGAAGACAATAATAAGAGATGAGTATCATTAATAAATTGTAAAATTTTCTGTTCTAATTAATATAAAAATCTATTAATATCAAGATGTATCTATATCGGTAGAAATGTAAAGTAAATATAATAACAATGGCCCAAAAAAAAGGCTATAAAAAATTGTAAAAAAAGATATTTTTATATGTGTCTGCAACTAATGATAAATGCAAATTACGTCTTGTAATAAGCACATTCATATATATTGCCTTCATTTATATTTTTGTACATATTTCATATAATATTCATTAATATCACACACAAACATTAATTTAAATATATTAATTATAAAATTATTTTTTAAATTAATGATCGTTATTTGATATTTATTTATAATTGTGCACATTGATATATGTATAAAATTGGAAATTTTTTATATACAATGTGATAAAAATAAATTGCAGATATCCTTACACATTTTGTTTTATTTAAGGTTTAATAATCTTTTTGTATATTCTATAACATTCAATGTAAATGTAGCACATGTTCTAAATCTAAATTTTAATATAATATAAAGTTAATAAAACTAATTTATATATTAGCTTATGTATAAGTACCAATTATTTGTTATAATATTATAATACATATGTTCAAGGTAATCAAATAGATAAACACAGTTTGAATGCTAGTCCTGATGTGATTTTATCGATTTAGATGTGTCTAAATCGTTTTCGTATTTAGCTAATTTCAAAGCTAAAAAGTAAATCTCAGCTAATGCGACAATTAATGCACAAATTATACCTAAAAGTAACCTAAATCCAAAGTCTAGGTTTCCAACTATAAGTTCTACTCCTATGAATCCAAAAGCAAAGCCAGCTGTCACAGAAAATATAAATTGCACAATGGCAATTAATTGTTTATTTATCTGCTTCACTGTAAAATAAGAAAGAGATACATTAAATTTTTTTACGAGCACAGACAAATGATTAAGAACATTGATAAAAATAATATTTTTACTTTGATATGCAATGCTATCTTCCGGCAAGAATTTTCGCATGGAATCGATGCTCTTTGTCATTGATTGATATTCTCTAGTATTTTGTTCTGCCTTTAATTTCTGTATTCTAGCTTCCAATTCTGGATTTCTTGGCGTCTCCTTAGGTATTGGCAATATCACATCAGAATCATTGAAAAGTTCATGCAAGTAAATCTTTTTTGTCGCGGTTTCTCTATATTTTTTTAAATATTTATTCAACCATTTAATATCTTCGATTTTTAATATAGCATTTGAAATCTTTTCTTTTTTAGACTTCTTAGATTTGCATAAAAGTGTGATACCATCTGGGGCATCATTTTCTTTGTTTTTTACATTATTCAAAATAAAATCTATCAATCTTACAGATGGTTTTATTGTTATAGTAGGATCTATAATTGATTCTAATGGCATATTTATGTAAACTATTTTTTCTTTATAACTGAGATTGGATATTTAAATGCTGAAGCACTAAAAGCCAATATGTAGATTAAAAATTAACGTATTATCTTATGGCGTAATGTGTAACTTTTTTTCCAAATCAACATAGAATTCTTCTATTTCGTTTTCTTTTTCTTGGAAAGTTTGATCCACTTTTTGACATTTATCACTCATATCATTTATGAATTTCTCCCACTCTGTTCTTCTAGCTAATCTATTTTCATTCAAAACACTGTCCTGTAACATCAAAATATCCGCATGAATTAAATTTTGTCTTACATAATATCTCAAAAATATCAATTTAGATTATAAGTATAAAATCTGTTTAATAAACATACACTATCAAAATTTTCTTCTTTTTGTAGAACAAGGTTACACATACTCAGTGCAACATCCACATTCGCTTTAAGACTAGGTAAATGACAATCACCAAGTTGTTCAGTGCGATCCAATTGGCTTTCTTTTAATTCCGTCGAATATTCAAGTATTTTAAAAAGACGTTCCACTTCTCTATCAGCTCTTTTGTCCTAAAATAAACGCAATTATCTAGAGTTAATGATATTTCAATAACCTATTACGCATAATGTAACATTTAAATTAAATTAAAATTAAAATTATGAATATATAAAAGCTTAGAAAAATACATAAAAATCAATTTATTTTTATAGTATATATATGGAAGTTACATAAAAATTAATAATCAAATAAAATTTGAAAAGCGTCATTAAAGAGATCGACTGCGAACAGTAGCAAATATAGTTTCAATTTTAACACATCTTTATTTACAATTATATTTTAAATGTCCAATTCCAGTCATAGGTTATGTTCATATATCTATATTAATATCTTAACCAAATAAAATAAATCTGTAATTAATTCGATTTATATATTTAGAGTCCTATCGCCAGCATCATCACGATCAAGATAACATCATCATGTATATTAGAGATACTTACCTGAAATTCTCGCAAGAAAAATGTGATCTCTCCTTGAACGAACGGACGATGGTCGAATAACCTGCTCCAGATTTCGCCCGTGTCTACGAAAACGATGATCGCGTATGATAATACTTAATGATTACGATAATACTTAAATGATAGAAAAATGTTTATTTGTATTTAGAGGGATATATGTATTTACTGTTTATACAGTGAGTTTGCCGCACCTTTAGTTATAGACGCCATGTCGGTGACAGGCAAGTAGTGGAAGCAGACGATGCAACGTCAGACATCATGTCGTCATATGACTGACATGTGCTACTGCTACTGCACACAATGCGTCATCGCTATGAGTATCGCAGAATTGGCGGAAACGTTTGAGAGCGTCGAAAAAAATGAATAAAAATAAATTACAAAGAATTTCAAATTAAATTAAATTATAAAATTTTTTTGCAATTTAATTTATTATAATTGCATTTTATTTTCTCGTTCGAAATCGATAAAATCTTACGTATAAAGAATGTACAAAATGTACAAAAAATATAAAGCTTTTTATATATGTATATCTATATTAATTTGAATATTTCTCTTTTTCGACTTCACTGGAAAAAGAAAATTATTATAGTAAAAGATTGTAAGCTCACGTTATAAAATACTTTTTGTTTTGATGATATATGTCACACTGAGAAAAAAAGTTGTTAACTAAAACTAAATAATTATTCAATTAATTAATATTTTGTTAATTGAACATATAGAAGTATTTAAATTAAATACACAACATGTATTAAATCTAATATAAAGTGGCTTAAATGCTTATATATGTATATGTTCAATTAACAAAATAATAATTAGTTCGATTTAGTCGAGTTAACTTTTTTCTCAGTGCATCAATGATGCCGTTGTTTCTTACGAAATTCATAATAAACTTGATTACCGAGTGTACATTAAAGATTTTTAAAATAAAATATATTGTCAATCAAAATTAATATTAGACGCTAGTGATGAAAATAAACTTGGCAAAATTGATTTCGACGTAACTAGCAATTTTATTCAATACTTTCACGACGTTTCGACCATTTGGTTGTGGTCCTTATCAAGTAAAAATTCCATCAATTAAAATGAGATTAATGCAACATAAAACCGATCTTATTTAAAATTAATAGTTAAAAGAGGAGCACGTCCCATCGCTATGATGTTTAAGATCGGTTTTATGTTGCATTAATCTCATTTTAATTGATGGAATTTTCACTTGATAAGGATTACAACCAAATGGTCGAAACGTCATGAAAGTATTGAATAAAATTGCTAATTACGTCGAAATCAATTTTGCCAAAAATATATTGTATACTAAAAATATGCACATATAATATACATATATAGTATAAATATCTTCTAAATGTAGCACTACTTTTTACCAAAAATTTTGATTTTATATATATATATATATATATATATATATATATATATATTAGAAAATGTTATTTATATTTTATTTATATTTAAAATTTTTGACCATCTTGGAGTAAATTATTTTTTAAGCTGTAACAAAAATGATTCGGTTTACTGTGTATAATTTTCAAAAGAAATTATAACTATACCTTCTGATAAAGGATCTTTTAGAAACTAATTAAGTTTTGAAAGTACAAATAAATGAAATTTTAAAAAGGTAATACACAAAAGATACAAAAGAGTAAAAGAGTCGAGCACACACACAGAATCGATAGAATGTGAAAACAATGCGTCCACGTGTATCCGTTTAATGGTGCTCGCGTTAATGGGAATTTCGCGTACATTTTTCGCTAAAGCGACAGTGTCGTTATACGTAGACGTCAACGAACGCATACACGTTCGACATATTCTCGAGTTACATCGCGCGATATGTGATTATCTCTGTGAGAATGCGGTGTTGAATATATTGACGTAAAATTCGAATCTGTTACGAAGAGGATGCCGCGATTAACAATGGCATCACGTGATTACGCATGCATTCCGCGCTGCGTGCATCTAGAAGAGGGTAGGGGTGATTACATATCTATATGTATACCTATGTTCCATTCGATCGTCCGTGATAATTGCGGTGAGGTTTAATTCGTGTCGTGACGAAATCTATTTGGGGTGCGATGAAAAGACTAGTATATTTCGCCCTCCTAATTAAAATCGTGCATTTGACAATGTAAGTTCGTTATCTTAACAATACTTTAACATAAAAAAATTTACAAATATTTTTACATTTGCTTAATTAAATTTTTGAAGGAATTCAATTAAATGTATTAGTATTAATTAAAAGTTGTTAATCTCTCGATATAATGAATTAAAATGAAATGAAATAATAATATTAATTTTAAATCACAAATAAGAAAAGCCGTTGAAGCATCAATGGATTTGATTTATTTTTTATTTTGCAATCGTTAATTCGATTGCAACTTTACATTTGTAAAAGCATTCTACTCTTTAAGGCAAGAGAACGTTACGAAGGGCGCTTGTAATTGCGCGGTATCCGCTGTTCCGGGAATAGAACCGATGATATTACAACACACGCTCCCACATAATGTGAGCTGCGATCACGAAGGTCTCAAGGAGTGTCAAAAATTGTGCATTGTCTTGGTGAGTATATTATTTTTATATTATTTTTTATTCTTATCTAATCTTTATCACCTAACTCCTTATTTTCCAATATATAGGGAAAAGAATATATATCTATGTACCTACACATAAATAATTTTGAATAATATAAGTACATTTTATTATCGATGATACTAGAAATTGATAAAAAAATAAAATAAAATAAAAATAAATAAAAATAAATAAAAAATAATATAAAAAATATAGTGATAAAGTCGATCAATATTTTTGTCCTCAGTCTGAAACCGTTCGAGATAAGGCACCAATGTTGATTTGTCAGAAATTGAACATACATATCGAAAATCTGAAGGTAGTACATCTTATTTTTTGTATTTTAATATGTACATAAAAGTATTTTCATTTTGAAAGTGTTCGCAGTAGAAAAATGTATATTAATAAATGTTTTTATTAAGTTTCTCTTCTAATTAGTATTTATTTTTATGTAATGTGACAAAGTAAATGCTATTGTATCACGTATATAAAAATGTTAATATTGAAATACTAAAATAAAACATTATTTTTCACATTAAAATAAAACAATTATATTATTTTTCGGTCATTTTATTATTTTGAATTTTTTTAAGTGTTATTTCTTTTCAGAAAAGCGTGATAAATTATTGTTATTCTATTTTTCTGGTTTTTTGCAGGTAGCTCTATACATGAAATCATGTGATTTGTCTTTTTGGACATTCACTGGCTTGGAAAGCGCAGAGCCCATTTGCTGTCACGAAGGAAAAGCAGTTGCTTGTGACGAGGCGATGTCGACAATAGAGAATTAACGAGCTGAGAATCCAACTCATTATTTCTTGTTCATTTACATCACTAACGAATATTTCACTATTGATTATATAACACGAACACGTTATATTCGCAATTTTTAATATAAAATATTAGAATTAGTAACTTCTTTTTGAAAATTTGAATAAAATAACTAAATAAGAGAGCGCAATTTTATATTTTATATATATATATACACGAATAATAAAGTATACGAAGAATAGCAGAGATCTGTTGAATTTATATCAAAGAATGAATTCAAAGAATGCTATTTTGGGAGTGTTATTTGATATACATTCGTATTCTTTGTTCTCCCTTCAAAGCTCGGATGCCAAGATTGAGACAAGAAGTCTATCTGCTATTGAAGTCTCTATACAGATGGTAAACCTCCGGCTTAAAATACAATAATGTTGGTTCTACGTCTTCAAAATATCGGATTCGTCTCGGAACGAAAGATCTGCCCCGTGAAAAATTTGTTTGTATCCTGCCTTATATCTCTCCCTTATAAAAAATTGGGTAAACCAATTTTTAAAGGCTAAAATTCAAAATAAAATAGAGAAGATGAAAAGGAAAATATATTTATTTTACAAATAGTATCTATCTTTGAGAGAGAAAATTTTAGTCATTAAATTACTTATTTTGCACAACAAATATAAAATTATTAATTTCTATTTATGAACTTAATAAAATTTCTAAAAATTTCTTGCATGTTTTTAGTGAAAAAATAATGCATTTGAAAATAAATAATAATACGAGTTAATTTTGTGAAAATAAAATGAGCGAGTAACAAAATCATAGATTATGTTCGACTAGAAAATTTCATATCATTATTAAATTTATTATTAAATATATTATTCCTTATCATTCCACACATACTAGTGTTCCATAATACTCGTGATTTTAATGATAGTTTCTCTAACAAGTTTATAATTTTTTTCTTAGGTTGTTGAGATACTCTAATAATATTCGATATAAATTTAAAAGTTATGACAAGGATTTCAACTTATAAGATGTAAGGATATAAACTTGTTCATAAGTTTAAAAGTTACACGTAGATTTGCGAGAATCTATTCTTTAAACTTTTAAACTATTAAAACCTTGTTTCTTGTGATAAAGCATGTTTTTTCCTGTAATCTCCCCTTTTAATCTCTTTTTAGTTATCCATCTTTCAAAATGTTCATTCAATCCTATTCTACTTAATCTTTTATCCGCAACTCTGAAAATAAAAGTTGTAATATCTTTCATCCGCATCAAAAATAAATGTTATAATATAGAGATGTATAAAAGATGATTCAATTTTTCAAATGCTTCTCTGATTGTTTTATCATTTGAAAACGTAATACACTGAAAACATTATTCAAATTATTAGAAGCAGTTTTCAATAATAAACGAACGTATGCGTTCGATAAAAACATACATGATCTTTTCACAATTTTTCCACGAATAATACGAAGCCAAGTGCCGATTATCAGGAGGTATTTAATCCGTCACTTGTGCTCTCTTGTGTAAAAGTCAAAGCTCCAAAGAGAGCATCTTTGAAAGCATTAAACGATATTCCTTCTCAACCGAATCTCCTTTCAGAAAGTACAACGACTACGGTCAACTATAGAAGAGATATCGTCAGATACGGAGAATCATGCATGCGCGTTTTTCGACAAGAGTACAATTGATCTTTCTTCGAGAGGAATTTCAATGAAAATCCAGTTACATAAAATAATTAAACAGGAGATCCGATATTTTCCTCCCCATTAAATTTTAGAAGAATATAACCGGAGTATAATAAAATCTGATCCCTTCGATCGATTTCATCTTGTTTTAACGAAGATTTAACTTCAAACTTGTTAAGCGCGAAAGTATTGAAGCTACGATAAACAATAGTTCTCGAGTTTTTGTTCAGGATAGCGTTAACTTTGGATCTCCGAGCTCGAGATTCTGACACTATTACGAACATTTCTTAACGTCAATTTTACGATGTATACCCATCCCGTATACGTCAAATACGCAGATCCTGCTGCGGATCTAAGTATGAACGTGGTGTGAGTCCATTTCATCCGCCGACTCGAGATACCCTCTATTTCGATGATAGCGTTCTCAGAGAATCTTGTTCCAGAAGCCACCGCATTGAATGGACGGTTTGTTATCGCTTTCCCTCTGTCCGATTTTCTGTAGACGAGCTCTTCTCCAAATTCCGACGCACTCGCTAGCAGGTATATATATATATATATATATATATATATATATATATAGAATTCGTCAGTCATACAGACTATTGTGTAACCGAGGTCGTTATCTTTCTTTGATCGAATTTTAATGACTGGATTGGTTTCGAAGACGAGGTTTGATCGCGTAATTCTCAAATCGTATTGATCGAGGAAAATCTGCCTGAACTTGTTCTCGTCGTGAAGAACCGACTGGAGTATCGTTAAAAAATTCGTTTTTCTTGCAAAAGAAATTGTATCCTTTTTTATGATACGATTATCCTTTTTTCGTTAAAATTTTTCAAAATTTTTCTAATTAACAGAAGAAGAATGTTAAAATATATTTTGAAACTATTTGTAAACGATTATTATTTTCTGGTTGCTATTTTTATGCTTTTATGTAATCATTTTCCAAGAATATTTTCTTCCGCTTTGAATTAGCAATAATTTTAAATTGTTTATTTTACGAGAGAAATTCTCTATATAACGATGTAATTTAGAATTCATTCAGCAATACTTCTCTTTTCGCTCGTTCGTATATCGACCTGTCGTATACTGACATAATTAAACGAAATGGAAATTGAGGTGACTAATTGTAGGTTTCCGGTTCAGTTCCTTCATCACGAAGTATTATGTGAACACACGTACGCACAAACATGCGTGTCGATTAAATCCCCCCAGTTCTCGATTAAATCGATTCTTGCTCCCTTGCTCATGATGTTCCGTCATGTGTCAAAGCTTGTAAAGAGAATCGATGTCTTCTCGTTAATTTTCCCGTTGCAATAGATGAGTATTACTCATCGGCGAATATTGACATCGTCATACGGACTGTATTTGATCGCGTGAATATGACGAAATCGAGTTACGTAGGAGAAATTATAATCTTTGAATAAATGTTTAACAATAAGTCATGTTAATACACGTATAATTTTCCATTTTTTGGTAATATTTAAAGATATTTAAAATATTAGTTTTTTATATATTGTATAAATATATATATATATATATATATATAATATAATTTATAATATTAATATATAAATATATTATTTATATATCAGTATATAATATATATAAATAAAACAGATGATATACTTGTATATAATTGTTATCAATATTTGCAATTATTATTTCTACCCTTAACTGTGTCATTGTTCAAAACACATTACACTTTGAGCCATTAATTCAAAGTCACCAGCAGAGCTGGGCATAATGAATGCTTTCTAATGGAAAAAGTGATCAAAATAAAGTGAGGGTGGATTAAGATGAAACGAGAGGAGGTTGAAAGAAGGATTAAACACTCACCCATAAAAAGAGAATCTCATAAAGAAAGAGAGAGCGAGAGAAAGAGAAAATGGGGGGAGGGGGTGAAAGATTTATAATTAATTAAATTTGTTTAATGAATTATCAGTAGACTATAATCATCGAATTAAATTTTCATAAATTCCATCATCAGCAGTGGCTTGCGAATAGTCTGATTGATCGGTTTATGAATATTACACTATTGTATGATATCAAATGTCACATTAATAATTTTAAAATGTAAATCGAGATAGTTTATGTTAAAGAAACAATTCGAATAAGTATGATTTTTATTTTAGTATAAGCTTATTATACTACAAACATTTTCCGTTGAATATAAATCCCGCGTTTTTTACTTATGCGCAAAAGGAATAAAATATATAAGATGACTATCCACATATACGATGTGTCACATATTTAGAAATATTTCTTGTAACTGCATAGATCCTTTGCATGCGTTTCATATTTTTCTTATAAAAAGATGTTTATTATATAGAAAAATAGCAGTTGTGTTCGCAATGCGACAAAGGAAGAAGAAAATGGTAGCCAACAGTTTTTTTTTTACAAAACTTTATAATTAAAATGTCTTTTTATGCTTTATATGCTTGACAAGCTTTCAGACTCTGATGCTGTTTGCATTTACTTTTCGGTTATGTATATATTATACAAATGTATAATCAGATTATTGCGTCTGTGGTTTTAATCCGAGGCTTCCGCGAAAGTTTAACATCCCGTCGATGTAATTTTGGTTTATTTGAACGGATTCAAGGATATAGGCATGCTCTAAGCGCATATACATCTTCCGCTAAAGGCTAAGGGTATGTTGATGTACGTGTGTTTACCTATTAGCGACACGTTGGAGAGTCGACGGTACGCTCGACAAGCTTTGTGATTGTTCTCCCCTTGCAGTTCGCACCTTTGCATATATCCGTCTATGAAATTGCCGCTTAGATGTTTTTCCAGTGTGTGTTTGTTATTGTGCATTATTTTCGCATATATTATTAATATGCGACACAATTAATTTACTCTACTTTTAGTAACATGAGTAATCATGCAGTGTTTGGATGATTTTAAAATTAACTAAACGAAAATGAGATAAAAATATATAAATTTATTTTAGATAAGATGAAAATGATTTTGTTGCAAATATTAAAAAATAATATTATATGGCGATTCATCTAGATAATTTTCAGATATTATTTTTAAGACTGCTTATGTAAATAGTTATACAAAAATGTAAGTTATAAAAATTATATTCACATTTTATTTATAAAGTTTTTATATCGCTTACTGCTTAAAATTAAAGTATTTTTATGTGCTATGATTTTAAACCAAATTATTATTTAATATTATTAAATTAAATACATATTTTATTTTTTATTATTATTAGAGATTTTTATTATTATTAAAGATAAAATAATGCCAAAGTTTTATCTCGATAATCATCTACATAATTTTATTTAGATAACAGCAAACACTGTAAGTAATTAATGGAATAATAA